ATTAATATTACATTATTATTTCTGTACTGTTAAATATTAATATTGTTACTGTTTTTGTTATTATTATTAATTTAGTTACTGTTACTTAAAAATATAGTATTATAGTAAAGTTTAAGAAATTTAGCAATCTGCTTGTCTTTTTTTTAAGCCTATATTTATTTATAAATATATTTATTAATCATTTTCTCAGTCCTAAAACACATTTCATTTAGTTTAACCAAGGTCATATTTCCCTTTAGCATTTTAACTTTATATTATTTTATTTTATATCAGTTACCTTTGCTTTTCAACAACAAAACTGTTATTTATCAGCAGAGTGCTCTTGCCCAGGGTCATATGAGATTCCCTGAGCCAAATAACCAGGATCTAACCACCAAGCAAAGAAACAGACCCAAGCGTCATTTAACGATGCCAAGATCTCCATCCCAATGTGCTGACAGAGTGTGTTCCCTCACCCTCATTCTGACTGACACCGAGTACTATTTGCTTGTGATTTAGAGGCACGTCTCTCCTCCTCTCGCGCCGCACCCCTCCACCATCCGGCACAGAGGCACTGGATACAATTACCCATTCTGATCGGGTTTCACTGCACTAGAATAATCCTCCCCATTATTGCCATAAATATTTCATGAATCATTTTGACAGAATAAAAGAGTCACTGAGGCCTCATATTAATCCGATGATGTTTTTTTCTGGTTTTCATCCTCCAATCCTGTCACTGTGACGACCCCACCTTATTCTTATCAACCTCTTCTGCTGTCTAACATTGTTTACGTCTTTATCATCTAAATGTGACTGGTTGCTAAATGGCACATGGCCCGTGGCCTGGCCTGCCCTCAGTGTCACCCCTGCCCCGAATGGTCACTGCGCTGGCACATTTCCGCCATCTCCCAGAAGCAAATGACATTTGTCACGGCCACGACCCCTTTGCCGCAGCCATCGACTGAAAAAGTGTTGAAGGACCTCTGTGGTATTGGCTCAAACAAATGTGCCTGTGTGCAGAAGGGTCAGCATGATTCAGTCTTAGTGATACTAAACTAACTCACATGACATTTAGCTGAGGGGAATCTCTGGGTCAGCTGGATTTGTTGCTTTGCCCTGGCCTTGGATATGGATCTGCTGTTCTGGATGTACTGCACACCTTACACATGAAGCTGAGAGCTTACTGGAGGCATGTCGAGCGGCGCATCCCCCTGATCAGTGTGAAAAGCCGTTGTGTGTTGGTGTGAATGGCTTGCCCTTGGACAGGCATGTTACTCAGGTCAGATCACACCAACTGCGGACTGGATTTGCCGGTGAAAGGTTCACACCAGTTAATTGGCCTTTGCTCAAGACTGAGAATCACATGCTGGACGCTATCAGATGCAGCAACAACCCTGAAGGAAAGACAGACAGAGAGAGAGAGAGAGAGAGAGAGAGAGAGAGAGAGAGAGAGAGAGAGAGAGAGAGAGAGAGAGTGTGAGAGTGAGGGTCAGATCTTGAATGAGTGGAGTTTTCTGGGTAAAAGTAATGATGCAATTACAATAACACGATTCTCAGAATCATATTCCAGATCTGATATTGCATTATAGGATTTCAGCGTATGTTTAATTTGAGCAAAATGCATTAAAAATAATGAACGCTATCAAATATGTCTGTCTAGATTCCTCCCTGCAAAATCAATGAATGCATGTTGTACTTCTAAGACAATTCAGGGTGAGACTGTTATAATATCTTATTATAAAACACATAATAAATCCAAGGCATATTTTAATTGATGTCTTTAGCTTCATATCTTCATGAATTATGCAAGTCTTACCTTTAATCACATTTATCAGTCCTTCTTTTTTCATTTTTTTACTCAGGCTAAAATAAAAAGAAAGAAAATGCATTGATTATTCTGACTTAGCTTAGACTAAACATTTAAATTTGAACCCCATTATCATTTTCAATGGTGTAATTGATGTGCCAGTGTCAAAAACTGCTTGAGAGTGACCTAAACTAAAAGCATTCGCACTCTATTGGGTTTTCATATTCAGCTCTTTTATTTCCAACCTTTATAAATATAAAGTATTTTAAGTCAAGTTTAAATATATTTCTTCATAATAATAAAAAAACTGACAGATTTTTAATAGGGAAAAAAGGTGAATGTTCCAATACTGCCATCTACTGTATGACTTGTGCACTATTCAGTATTCTTCAAGAAGTAAACCCTTCAAAGCATAACCCTGCTGAAAAATCCAGCTTAAACCAGCCTAGGCTGGTTTAAGATGGATTTTTCAGCAGGGAAATTAGCTCATAAAATGGATTACGTTATCATTGAACTCATACTACGACTGTTTTTACAACTTTAAACAGCCTAATTTAACGTTTGTCATTTCAAATTGCTGTCAAAGTAGGCTATTTCAAAGATTTCACAACGCTGGCGAGGCTGAGGTTAAAACTGGTAATTTTCTTGAAGCGTAGTTTAATTGTTATTTTGTTTATAACGACGATGTGTAGCAGTTTGAAAACCTCTGTACGGTTTTCTCACATCGTTTAAAAGCAGCAGCAGAGGTAATAAAACAATAATGGCACAATAGAAATAAAATGTGAAATAGTGATTAGCCATACCCGTAAATCGATATCTGCCATACACTCTACTCAAATCAAATCAGATTTAACGACAATGAAAGCCACAAGTTGGTATCTCATTCCTTCGCGTCAAAAATGTTTGTTCTCCAAAAGTACTAAACTGTTTGTGTACATTAAACTAATCTAATTGTTGATGTAATAAAATGTATAAACAACTTAGACCAAAACGTCCTATAACAAGGATATACACCATAATTTACTGTTGTAAAAACCAAAGTATATAGCCTACCACAGAATTTATTACAGTTTATCAGTTTATCACGAAAGTTACTGTAGGCCTATGCTTTAGAAATCACCAAGTTGTAAATGCAGTAACACTGTTATTTAATAAGAAATACAGTTGTACATTGTTCTTGTTAACAGTGCATGAATTTGTATTTTAATAATGCATTAGTAAATGTTGAACTGTGATCAGAGCCGGATTTAGTGATTTGGGGGCCCTAAGCAATTCCGGCCATGGGACCAAGTTTTACAATGCACTTTTTGTATTTTAATTTATCTTTAATTGATTTATTTTGCTGTTTTTTTTTCTTCTTTTTTTTCATATCACTCAATCTCCTTTTCTACATTTTGTCTTAACACAAAACAAAAAAATAATGTAAAGCATTCTAAAAAACTTTTTAAATGATTTGTTTTCTTAAAATTAATTCACAATTAAAAACGATATATAAACTATATTGTTTTTACAACTAAAGCTTTACCTATAATATGACTGCTCCATGATTGAGAGTGGGAGACACATTTGCGCAGATGTAATAAACAATAACCTTTTGTTTTTTTAGTCCCTCATCATACAAAATATGATAGAAAATGATGTTATAAGTTATTTATAGGTATAATTTATACTTCTAAGTATTTATTTGAGGGCTCTCAGATTTCCTGGGGCCCTAAGCAGCCGCTTATCTTGCTTATTGGCTAAATCCGCTTGAGACTATGATAAATAAAAGCTTTACAAATACTGTTTATTATTAGGTAATGTAAGTGAATACATTATAATATATCATATACTTATAAACAATATTTATAAAGTATAATATACTTTATATATGGTTAAAATACACTATAATATAGACTATACATTACTTTAATGCTTTTTTTGTGTGGGGTGATGATGCTTTCTACATACCACATTGGTAATATAGAAAATGATGACAACTTTTTGTGACCCATTTAATAATTATAAAAATCTAGGTAGACACAAGATGATGTACAAATATCATTAATAACAGTGGAATGAACTTTAACCATGTCACGTATGCCCAGTGGCGTAGCGCAAAATGCGTGGGCCCTCCTGCAGGGGTTACTAAAGGGGATTGGACATTTAGGTCCTCAAAACTTGTGATTAAAGATCTTCAAACTAACAGATTTTAACCATCCAGAGAACAAAATCTAAACAAAGATTTGCGATGCCACCTCCAAAAATAATAATAATAAAACAGAATAATCTTCCTTAAAGCTTCTCTCTCTCATAACACTGTTGAAAGACACCTGAAAGCCTATTTCACATCCCTTGCTATAAAGTCTGTAACTACAGAATATCGAGCCATTGATTCTCTACTCATATTTTATTGTATGTGCTAATATTGTTGTGTTTACACTTTATAGGTTTAGTTAAGTACAGCACTTTGGTCTATGCTCTGTTGTTTAGTGCTATAAAAATGAATAAATGAAATTACATTTCCCCCTAGTTCCCCCTCACAGAAAAAGATTAAGCCTGTAATCTCAGACTAAAATGTTAGTCTGAACTGTTTCAAATGCAAGAAACCTGCCATTACTGATCTGAAAATATGTCAGTGTGTTTGTTTTGTCTCAAGATAGACACCAGAAATGTGTTTTATAAGGCACATTTAAAAATAAATACATAAATAACCTATGGACTAATTTAACTGTGGCTTAAGCCTGGCTTTGTCTCTGTCTTTAAAACCAGGTCATTATGACTGAACATATTCACTACAATTTGTGTTCAAAATCCCAAAATCAGATGTTAAAACTTTCGAAAAAAAAAGCAAAATGATGATAAACCAACCCCACAGAGGAGAAATGGAAATAAGAGCAGGTCAAAGCACAGATCCGTGGTTAAGCTGCCGAAACATTTACGCTTTTATTATGTGCTTACTGCAACAATCTTATCTTTCTGCCAAGAATGATAATTCATTCCAGCCGTCCATCAAATAAACAGAAGATGATTATGTCGTCATTATATTGCTGCTGACGAGCTGGAAGACAGTTAATGAATAACTAATGAATACCTTTTTAAATGTAATACAACACCAAACCACAGAGTTCCTCCTGCGCGGCATTGGCCAGTGAAACCTGTCACCGGGACAACAGGACACAAAGATAAAATGAGATACAGCCCACTTGTACCTTGTATCCTACAATTAAACCACAACTTCCTTGTTCCTTCAGTCTAGTGAGCCCAGCAAACACCGCAGTCTGTTATTCCTGGAGCGCCTATGCACACAATGTAATGTTTAAAGTCTATTTATTTATTCTCTGCCAGGACAACTCTATGATCTGAAAAGCAGGATGAGGAGGATGAGTGTCTACCCACAACATGGCACAGCTCTGGAAAACCTGGGACTTACGGCACATGAAATCCAGCAGGAAGTTGAAAACAGTAGGTCATGTTTGTTAGAATCAGATCGTCTTTGCTAAATCAGTAATATATACTGTAATATAAAGCATTTGAAAATGATCCAGTATAGCCTGGCTCTACTAGGTATGAGTTTTATTTTGGGTATTTAATTTGATATTTGTTTTATTCTTTATAAGGTCTGATAAGATTTCCTCACATTTCAATAGAAAATATTGACATATAGTGTACTTTAAACTATTATTATTATTATTATTATTATTATTATTATTATTATTATTATTATTATAATAATTGTTGTTGCTTTTTAGAAAACGACAGTTGGTCAAAAAATTATGAAAATCAGGGTAATAGTAACCCTAAATAAAGTTATTTCATATTGCTTTCTTAACTTCTGAATTTTTTATATTAATAATGTGATATCTAAAAGCAATGTAATCACATCTGAAAAAAGACCATTTGTCATTCTATGCTCTACAATAAGAAAAAATGTCACCAAAATAATGTGTGTGTGTGTGTGTGTGTGTGTGTGTGTGTGTGTGTGTGTGTGTGTGTGTGTGTGTGTGTGTGTGTGTGCGTGTGTCATATCAGGACACAAATCTGTATAATGACATGGGTATGACACAGATATTACAAAAAGGAGGTGAAATATGGAAATATGAGGACATTGGTGACGTCCTCATTTCTCAAAATGCTTATAAATCCAACAGAATGAGTTTAATCAGAGAGTAAAGCTGCACACAGTTTCTTGTGATGGTTGGGTTTAGTGGTGGGGTGGGGTGAGGGCAATATAATATACGGTTTGGACAGTATAAAATGAATGGAAACCTATGTAATGTCCCCACTTTTAACAAAAACAAACATGTGTGTGTGTGTGTTTTCCTCAACCATAGAACTATGAATTATAGATATTTTACACATTTTAGACCCGTAGCTAGCTTGGTAAAAGGGTGATTCTTTTTTCTCAAAATTGTGGACTTTTTTAGTTATTTGCCTCATTTTCTATTTAATTATGAGATTTTAATACTGAATTTACATCACATTTTAAGCACTGTTTTTGCTAAATAGTAAAATATTTAATAAATATTTAGAATAAAGAAATATGACAAATATATATATATATATATATATATATTTTTTTTAAATATATATCACATATATCATTAGAAAAAAAAACTTTTAAATTACAAACTGTAGCCTAATGTATTTTGTTAGGCAAACAATAAACTGGTCACCACGTTCAACTTTCCTCGGTCAGAATTTGACCATTTGAATAATAAAAAATTAAAACATAAAATAAAATAATAATAATAATAATAATAATAATAATAATAATAATACTTTAGTTCTTCACAATTTTCCTAGCCTCTCTTGTAAAAAAGTACATTTAAAAATTCATGGATAACAACAAAAGCCAAAATATTATTCAATCAGTTTTAATATGGGACACTTTTGGTGCTTCACACTTTTTGGTCATGATTTCTTTCTTTTTAAATAAAGTCCAAGATTTAAAATAAAAGTTACTTGTCAAATGTTTTCTCTATTAAAACAATACACAGTCGTGAAAGATGACTTTGCTTATGTTTTCTTGAATAGCTGGATGTTGGGAGTCTTGAAAAATAATTGTTTGCATTGACCAAAACTGATCAGCTGAAGTCAAACCAGGATTTTGCTTGGTCTTAAAGCCTTTTTCAAGGGGTTATTTTTACATTTACGATGGCATAACATTCAAAATGTCAGAACAGTCAGAACAGATGAACTCATGTATGGGATAAACTCTGGACTTTTGTCAGTGTCATCCAAACCACCCCAACCCCCCTGGCTACGGGCCTGCATTCAATACACAATAAAACATGATTAGTGTAAAATATTAATTGTGTTTCCTTTTTAATATCTCTTCACATGTAATTTCTTCCTATAACAGCAAAGCTGAATTTCAGTCATTCAAAAAACATTCTAATGTGCTAATTTGAGTATACAAAATTATACTTTTGGTAAAATTAACAATAATTTATTTGCAATTGAAATCTTTTTAGGATTAAAAATGTATTTCAAATCACCTAAATCCATCCCTGTTGAATACAGTTCAAGTCAGAAAACTGAAAGTCCTGATCAAGTTAAGCTTGACGAAGAGAGGACTTTTTTCAACACATTTCTAAACATAATTAGTTTTAATAACTAGTTTCTAATAACTGATTTATTTTATCTTTGCCATGATGACAGTAAATAATATTTTAATAGATATTTTTCAAGACACTTCTATACAGCTTAAAGTGACATTTAAAGGCTTAACTAGGTTAATAAAGTTAACTAGGCAAGTTTTAATTTGTTGTTAATTAGGCAAGTCTTTGTTTAACAATGGTTTGTTTCGTATCCAATAAAAAATAAATAAAAAAAACAGGGTTAATGATATTGACCCTAAAAACTGCCTTTATTTTACCGAAAAATTTACAGAAAAGAAGAATAAATATTACAGGAAACACTGTGAAAAATTCCTTGCTTTGTTAAACATCATTTGGGAAAAATTCACAGGAGGGATAATAATTTACATAAACTGTATATTTATTTATTTAAAAATAACACACAAGTGTATCAAAAAAAACAAAAAAAAAAAACATATACAATCCTTACTTTTGTCCCCAGATACGTCTGAACTGGTATCAGATCTGTCAGACCTGTCAGCCGGAGCCAGATTTCAAGCGATACGGTCATTACCTATGTCATATAACGAGAGGAAAGCAATCAGGTTAATATCTTTTGCATTATCATACATTTATGCAATATTTCCAACAATGCCTGATCTAAACTTGAACTTGCAATCACCTCAACAGGAACAGAGTGAACAACATCAAACTCTCGAAAACCATCCTCCCCACAGACTGTCGTCAACAGGTGTCTCTAGTAAGAAGATGACACACATTTTAAATCTAGATGTGTTTTTTATTTCACATTCATCATAGTACTATATCATTATTCTGAAAACAAAACACACCTTCAGTCTTTCCGCAGGTTTCGTGCCAGCTTGACATCCGCCAGGCAGCGTTTGGTTGTATGGCAAGATACTCTGAAGGAGATCGGGGGCAGATTTGGCACTTCTGTCCTGTCCTACTTCTTGTTTCTCAAATGGCTGCTGAAGTTCAACGTCTTCTCCTTCGTCATCAACTTCTGCTTCATCACAATCCCACAAATTGTCCATGCGCCCAATATCAGCCATGTCACAGGCTTCAGAGGACTTGAGCTGCTCACTGGCGTGGTGAGTTATTATTCAATTGACTCTAAATGTTACATTCGTTCAACACAACATTCTATCTGCTAGCTAAAATACAATGTAAAAAAATGCTGGATTCCACACAATCGATTTGTGTTGGGACAACATGAAGGAATTGAGTTAGCTTTACATTTTTACAAATTTAAGTGGATTGAACATAAAACAATTAAGTTGTCCCCCTAAAAAACCCTCAAGACATGTGTTGTTTTGGCTCATTTCAAATGAGTAAGTTGAACAAGTAGCAAACTTGCTAATTATTTGAGTGTATTAGCACTGCTCAAAAGTTTACAACCCTTTTTTTTAGCTTTGAAAGTTGGTAAACAGTATACTTGCATCACACCATTACTAAATTAAAACATAAATCCATAAACTAAATATTTACAGAAGCCTCCAGGCAGCAGTAGGAATAAATTAAAACCAGCAGATGAACTGTATTGCATCAGTTCTTGTTTTATTTGACAAAGAATCCTTAATCCATACGATAGCGTTCATATATTTACATCAGTTTATGTTTTAGGGGGAGAATATCATGCGGCTATTCAATATTAACCTGAACTAAAGAGTAAATATCATTAGGCATGGCCCAGCATAAGTTTCTGACGGTACCTTGGATAAAAACACCAAGTTTCACAGTATGTCTGGGTAAAAACAACCTTTTTTTTCCCCTATTGAACACAATATATTTAATTTTAGGAAACATTTGTAATATTTTTGAACAGTAAACATGTCAGGCTAAGTAGGTCAAATAAATCATTAACCTCTGCTCTCTTCATTAGTTTCAAAAACACACATTTATTTACAAAACCTAAAAATACAATTAAAACCCTTACATACTGTATACCTTAGGAATGGTATAACGGGAATTTTTTTGTTTTCCCGAATCGCTGTAAACCTTAAAATCATGCCTAGTGTGCACCAGTTGGTGTTGTGATGTTCAGTCAAATCACATCTAAAACGTTTGTTCAAACTACTTAATTCAATTGAGCTGAAACAACACAAATTACTGAGTTTTTGGGGGACATAATTGTATGTCCAATCCACTTCAGTCTGTAGAAGCTAAGAAGTTAACTTATTTCCTTTATGTTGTCCCTACACAAATCAGTTGTGGAATACATTTTTTTACAGTGCATAATAAACATCATTATACATTTTGTAAAGATTATCATTCATTCATTTCAAATGTAGTTTGTGAATGTACAGCATAGTATCAGTAATATCATGATACATCAATTGTATCAAATTTCTATGTTAAACTTTATACAGTTTCTACTAGCTATGTTCAGCTTTAGGAACAAACGTTGGAGCTGAAATTACAAACTAGCTAGTTTTTAAACAATATTCTAAGCCTCTAGTGTGGACAACATGTTCTAATAGAAGTAACACAACCCAATACAAGTAATACAACCTAACCCAACCCTTTTATAAAAAGCTTTTCTTAGTTTAAACAGGAAAAAAATAAGAAAATAAACTTTGGTAGAACTTTCTTTTAAAGGTTATTTACATAACCAGTGTTGCCAATAAAATACCTTAATTTAAAAAAAATAAAAAGTACACTATTTATTCATTCATTCGTTCATTTATTTTCATTTGACTTAGTCCCTTTATTAATCTGGGGTCACCACAGCACAATGAACCGCCAACTTATCCAGCATATGTTTTAAACTGCAGATGCCCTTCCAGCCACAACCCATCAGTGGGAAACACCCTTACACTCTCATTCCCACACATACACTACGGACAATTTAGCTTACCCAATTCACCTATACCACGTTTTAGGGCTGTGGGGGAAACCAGAGGACGGGGAGAACATGCAAACTCTTCACAAAAACAGCAAATGACCCAACCAAGGCTCGAACCAGCAACCTTCTTGCTGTGAGGTGAACAACGTGCTACCCATTGCGCCACCGTGCAGCCATTATTTATTCTAATTGATGTATAAATATTCTGTTAATTCAAGTTTACTTTTTTTAGCATATGTATTTATTAGCATTTATCCATCTTAATAAATGCTCTAACAGTTAACTAATCTTTAAGAGTTCACCCAAAAAACAAAACCGTCATTAATTACTCTCCCTCCACTTGTTTCTTTCGTCTGTTGAACACAATAGAAGATACTTTGAAGAAAGTTTGAAACCGGTCTCCATTGAGTTCCATTGAATTGCTTCCTTTTATGAAAGTCAATGGCTAATGGTTTTCAGCATTGTTCAAAAATATCATCTTTTGTGTTGAACAGAAAAGAAACTCAAAGGTTCGAAAGCGCGTAAGGGTGAGCAAATGTTTATTTTTGGGGTGAACAATCCCTTTAATGAATTGAAACCTAATTTTTTCATTTCGATGAGGCGATGTCATTGACCCATGAACATTTCCTGCTTGTTATCAAACTATTTCATAACTGTGACAAGAGGCAATACAATCCTAACTTAAACTTCTATCGTAACATTATTTATCAATGTGTTTCTTTTCGGATTGTCGGAAGCTATATACATTAAAAATGTAAAACAGGAAATACATTGGGACCATTGTTTTTGTTTACATCCTTCAAAATGGTCTATAGAATATACAGTAACAAAATCTTGTTCGACAGGGCTATTTCAACCAGACAGTCTTGTTCTATGGCGGTTATGACGGTGAAGTGATTGTATCCAAACCAGCCTACAACATGCAGCTGGCCTACTTTTTCACCATAGCTGCATACATGGTTCTGTGTGGGCTTTCTCTTATTTACAGGTAACATATTATGGAGTACTGAAAGTTGTTATGGCCTTTAATGGGATACAAGCAATACAAGACTTGCTTTGTTCTATATGACTTATTCCATTCTGTTTAGCAGTGAAACATTTTCCCAGATTTCACATATGGAATATTTGCCATTTGAATTAGCCTATGGCATTTAAGTCAATGGCTATGATTGTTTTGGAAATTTGCATGCTTTGACTCATGAGGTCACCCTATGAACTGAAGTGACGACTGATTCAACAAGCTACTGTTACAATGTACCAAAGGCAATAAAAAAAAAAAAAAAAAAGACCTGTGTTCTTGTCCTCCTCCACAGCATGTCCAGATCCTTTCAGAAGAACTTTGTGCTAGAAACAGGCCCCGTTTCTGGAGGAGCCTGGCGTCTCCTGTGCAGCTGGGATTTCAGTGTCGTCAATGAAAAAGCCATACAGTACAACAAGAACAACCTCGGCATTCAGCTCAAGGTTCATACCCGTTTATATTTCTGAAAGGCATCATCTCTTTTCTGCTTCCCTTGGCTTATTCTGCCCGTGTCTTCCAGGAGTCCTTATCAGAAAGGCTACAGATGAAAAACAAAATCTCTTTGTCTGACAGAATAAAGCATCTGTCCCTTAACTTAGTAGCCTGGCTGCTCTGTTTATTACTTGCCTTAGGCTCCGGTGCAGGCATCTACTTTCTGGGTACGGAACAGTTGGTAAGTTCATTCTAAAATTATTGAAAACACATACTATCAATTTCTTACTTAAAAAAAAATAACTTACATTAATAATATAGTGCTTTTTTGACACTCAGAGTGCTTTACACATTTATTTTTTGGTGGGTGGGTAAGGTTGGGGGGCTCTTCTCATCCACCACCAGTGTGCCGCATCCTGGATGACACTATGGCAGCCATACTGCACCAGACTGCACACAACACACAGCTAATTGGTGGAGAGGAGACAGTGGGATGAAGCCAATTATGATATAGGGAAGGTTAAGAGGCCGTGATGGACAGAGGCCAGTGGGCAAATTTGGCCAGGATACCGGGGTTAAACCCTTACCAATTTTCAAAGGACATCCTGGGATTTTTAATGACCACAAAGAGTCATGACCTCAGCTTAATGCCTCGTCCGAAAGACGGCGCTCACTGAGCAGTAGAGTCTCGATCAATATAATGGGGCATTAGGTCCCACACAGCCCACTGCTGGTCTCACTAACACCAATTCTGGCAGCAACCTTGCTTTCCCATGTGGTCTTCCATCCAGATATGGGACCTATTTTTAACACGTAATCACTTTGTTACTGCTAAAATAGGTTTAATCTAACTTGATTGCAATGCAGACGTAATGCATTCGTCATGTTATTATTATGAGAAGTCTTTTCAGTGCATATTGAGTCACTTTCCTTTCATCCGAAATACAATCCTGTGCACTTGTGGGATAGCGAAATATAGTTTATGCTCACATCTGTTTTGAACATATCTGATGAACCAATAACTCACTGGGCCATTCATATTAAGAGCAGTTTACGAAATTGCTGAATGAATCAGTCATTTGAATGAATCAAATGAATTAATGGCTTAGTGCCCAATTCAATAGACAAATACCATCACCTACTGGCAATTTTAGTAACTTTTTTTAAATGTATTTATTTCTATATATAAAAACATATTTAATATATTCATATTAATAAGAAAAATGTAATGGATAGTTCACACAAAAAAATAAAATGATGCCATTGTTTTGCATTTGTATCGTTGTGTTGTTTTGAAACTGTATGGTTTTCTTTTTTTTTGGTGAAACTTAAAGGTATTTTGAAGCATTTTAGTAACTGGTTTTAAATCTGCAATTATCTGAAAAATAAAAAATATATATATATAAATAAACACAAATTTATAACTGGAAAAAAGGGGGAGGGGGTTTGGGGGAGAAAGCATGGCCATATAGGCCTAATATTTACATTATGGCAATAGATTCTGTTTAATCATACATATATTTTTTCTTTTGGGAGTAATTTCTCAACCTAATTTAATATGTGATTATAAAGATTAATTCATTGCTACATTTTTTCATTAATCAAATAAAAAAAAAAAATGACAGCTCAAGTTTTTTGACTGCTAAATAGCAGGTCAGTAAGCGATTTCATGCAATACATTAAGTAGAAATACATTGCATTCAGCCTGCGCTTATATTTCCCTACAGACCTTTAGTTTCAACCAAGATCCAAATGATTTAGTGTCTGAGGCGTCTACTCTGCTTCTGCCCGTGGTTGTGTCGCTTATCAACCTGATTGTGCCTCTCCTTTACTCCCTCATTGGCAAAATGGAGACTTACTCCAACCCACGGGCTAAGATCTACATCAGCATTGCAAGGTGCGATCAGAGTTTTGTTATAATTACCAGAAGCATCAGATTTCCACTGTTAACTATGTAACTGTTAACACTTCATTATTCGGTTTGTTCCTAGAAATATTATTCTGAAGATGTCCCTTCTTGGAATTCTTTGCTTTTACTGGCTCAATTTTGTTCCTGACAAAATCCCAGTAGGTGCACCAATAATTAAATGTTTACATGGGTTACCAATAAAGCACTATTATGCCTCTTTGTTTGTTTGTAATCTTTTTTCTTTTTATTATAGTGTTGGGAGTCCTTTGTAGGACAGAGTGTATATCGACTTCTGATCATTGACTTCATATTCTGTCTGCTTGGCATTTTCTTTGGAGAATTCCTACGCAAGTAAGTCAAAAACTGGAACTCAAATACATCCTGACTATTGAACTAGATTTTTGAAAAAAAAAAAAAAAAAGTAATAAGTAAGGACCTTAAAGGGTGTCAGTGGGGTCTTAAAAAATTGTTAAAAAGTCTTAAACTATATTTTACAAGGCATTAAATTTGATGTCATTTTTAATTATACAATGTACACACCCCAGCCACTTATTAGGTACACCACTCCAATGCAAATTTTTAATCAGCCAATTACATGGCAGCAACTCAATGTAGACTTGGTCAAGGCGATTTGCTGCAGTTCAAACAAAGCGTCAGAATGGGGAAGAAAGGTGATTTAAGTTACTTTGAATGTGGCATGGTTGTTGGTGCCAGACGGGCTGATCTACTGAGATTTTCACACACGACCATCTCTAGGATTTCACTAATGTTTGTTGAATCTTTGTGTGGGTTACAATGAAAGTGAAATAAAATTGGAGGGCTTGGGGTTGGTAAATTACATTTTATTTTCATTTAAAAGAGAATTCTTTTTTTTTTTTTTTTACATGTGTCCTTGCAGAACAAAAGCGTCAATTTCTTTAAAAATTTGCTTACCTACCTCAATAATTGAACAGCGCTATACTGTAAATGATATATTTGCCTTTTACTTTGTACCATAAGCTGTGTTTTTACAAAGCGATGAATGAATAAATCTGAGAAGATGGTTTATGTTACAGTTCTATTCAAGAGTATACCGTGCATTCTTCACCATGAACAGCAATCGCTGATTACAGATGACACAAAATCAATCGATTCACTTTCATTTCACTTTTTCAAAATTGCTACAGTGTAATCGGAACCATGTGCATCCAAAGTCTGGGCGTCCCAGAGTTTGACATTGCGAGGAATGTACTTGATCTGATCTATGCTCAGACTCTGGCTTGGTAAGTCAATATCTCTTAAAGTCTATACTTTGATATTCCTTCCAGCTGACGAGCATCTCTTTTATCTCTCTTCCTGTGCAGGATCGGAATTTACTTCTCCCCTTTACTTCCTGTAATGCAAGTCCTTAAACTGTTCATCATCTTTTACCTAAAAAAGGTAAGCACCATTATAGTATTGTGCCCTTGCATTCATGATTGCATTGCCACGGCTTTAATCTGGTATTGCGTTTCAGCTCAGTCTCAGTATGAACTGTCAGCCTCCCAAACACACTGGCAGAGCTGCACAGATACAGACCGTCTTCATCGCTCTCCTCTTCTTCCCTTCATTCGTGGGAGCGCTGTCTATGGTGGCTTTCACCGTCTGGAGGTTTGAGCCTTTCTACTTTTTAGATTTTCAATTACAGTTTCATCAACTGTTATCAGACAAACTGATGCATGAAGTGTTGTCTGTAGCTGCATTTATGGTTCTATGAATATCAAACAATTCCAGATCAACTCCTAAAGGGACGGTCAACCTAAAAGTGATGTTTTGTCATTGTTGCTGGTACGCAAATAGTTTTGGTTCACTTCTAATTTTATTTGTAGATAAAATGGAAGTCTAAGGAAGAGACATAATAAAAAAAGAAAGTTAGAAGTACATTTAAACTTTTATGGTATGACATCTAGGTGGGAATGATGCCAATTTAAATTTTTTAAAAGCATTATAGTTTAAACATACTTCTTTTTTCAGAGAGTCTGCACTCAAAAAAAGACTTTTCCTGCTTGTTGAAACTACTTAATTAAAATGAGTTTAAATAAGAAACAACACAGTTGTTAAAGGTGCATATGTAAGTTTGACATCCAGTGGTTGAACTAGGTTTTGCATTCCTGGATCAAAACAAGTGCAAGCATAGGGATCCGTTCTTCGTACCTTGGTTAAATGATCTAAGGTGATTTGGCAGATCCTGGATACAATTCGTTTAATCTTAGTAACTGATCTCTAGCTAATTTGGTTCTTCAAACAGGTTTGCGTATCATCAGATTAAAATGTCTAGATGAGCTGATCTGAGATCGCTGCTGTGATTGTGTTGTGAAGGACAGATCTATCGATGGGCTAACAGTACAGTAGCATAATGCCATCATCCGATGAATATTTAATTTTCCATGTGAGCAAAATTACATTAAATTCATAGTAAAGTGTTTGTTAAATATGAAATGCAAAAACTTTCCACCTTTGTTATGGGGTGCATGTTTACACCTTCGTGTGTGAAGTATTTATCAATTGATTTAGTTTTACATTTAGAGCAGATTTTCTAGCCTACATAAATTGTAATAATGATTCAGTTAGCTTAATCTTTTTGTGTTGGGACATCATGGAGGAATTGCGTGGAACCAGCATTTTGTTTTTATTTAAATAGTTTGTCTATGTAAAAATGCACTAGACTGATGTCACACTTCAACAATTTCACATAAAGCTAATTGTTATAACCTGATACATTCATAGCAAGAAAAAAAAGATACATTTATAAGACTTTTAAAACTGTGTATTGTGTTATCTATAAAAAGGGGCATTGTAAAATAATAACTGAGCAATTTGTGTTCTTCACTGTAGAAATTGCAGGGTTCCACAAAATTTCTTTATGTTGTCTTAATTGTTTTTACAAATTTAAGTGGATGAAACATAAAAAATTCAAGTTGTTATAAAAAAAAACTCAAGAATTGTGTTGATTTAGCTCAATTTAAATAAGCAGTTTGAACAAGCTGCAAAAGTATTTTACAGTGTTGTATCTAAAAATCGGAATCGGAAATCAATTGGAAATGAAAAAGAAGATGAGTTAATTTAATAAGAGAAAAAAAGTCAATAAACCAAGCCACAACAAAATACAACCACAACAAAAAAATAAAATACATTTCTCGGAATATAATCAAACTTATTTTTTTAGTTTCACACAGAGTTTCAGCCAAATTCCCAAATACTTTCATGTGGTGAAATTGAAGCACTAAATATTTAGCAAATCCTTGATACTAACATACTTGATACAGAATATCGTGAACATATGGAGAAGTCAAGGGGGGCGTTGATGTAAAAAAATAAATAAATAAAAAAATAAAAAAAAATCTATACCCATATTTGCTTGCATCTTTGAATAGAAAAACCAATAAAATGCAACAGTGTAAAATATCTTGTGTGAACCTCTTCTGCAGCCTGCAGCCCTCAGATCAGTGTGGGCCCTTTCAGGGTCTCAAAACCCCCTTCCACACCATTTTCAATTGGACTGATTCAATTCAGGGCCCTCCTGAAACCCACTGGGTCTGGTGGATATTTGAAAACGTCCTAAGAAGTGAACTCTTCTACTATCTGATTAGCCTCATCGTACTGTAAGTCCACAAGCTGGATCTTTCCGAACTACACATTTATAGGAAAATAATAAAATAATAATCTATTTTTACATCCAATATTTCTCCGGGAAAGCTGGAGACTTTCTGATTCTTTCATCATTCCTTTGTCTCTCCATTCAGAGTTATCACTTTTTTTCTCTGGCAAATCACTCAGGGACGGAAACAGCTCATCAAGTCTCTGCGAGAGCAGATTGTAAATGTGAGTGCCAAGATCATACGAAGCTCATTTTAAGCATCCTCTGTGCTTCAGTGTCATCAAGAACTGCTATATATGGATAATAGTTCTAACCTCAACGACTCTTCTTTTATCTGCTCGTCAGGGAGGAAAGGACAAAGCGTTTCTCTTGAACAAACTACAAAATATCCAAAGGCAGAGAAGAGAAATAGCATCTTACAGTCCTCAGGTTTGTCTTTCTCATGTATACGGTCTGGTCTACACCACAAAAATTGGTTCTTAGAGTTTTTGTCTTGTTTATATAGTCCAAATATCTGCACTGTAAAAACACTGGTTGCCTTAAATTAAGCTGAATCAAATTAACCCTACAAGTCCATTAAACTTATATTATGCTAGACTGAATAAAACAGCTTACGTAACTTGTATAATTAAGTTAGAACATGATAAAAGAGGCCCTATTATACATTAAAAAGGGTCATATTTTGGTTTTAAGGGTCTGCAACAAGTTGATATGCATGCAAAGTCAAAAAACACTTTCATTGTCTTATGATTTGCATTTATTTTTACCTAATTTTCCCAGCGGCTCCTGTATGAATCGTTCAGCGATTCCTTTGTTCCTAAAACCTTCCTTAGCGCGATGCTAATCTGTGCTGATTGGACCGATGAAATGCCCACCACAGCTTATCAACAACACTGAAGTAGTCAGAGTGCATAGTGTATGTGTGAGCATACAACATACAACATATTTCCGACCCTTCTCCCACCACTCTCTCATTTTGTAATTAATCCTGGAAAACTCCCGTAATTTCACACTTATTTTTAACACTAACTTTCCATCACACTTCCAATAATATCCAGCTGAGCACAGCTGCTACACGACTTGATTCAACCTGGATCTGCTACAGTGTTTGTGGGCGGGGCCGCAGGTTTCAATTTTCCCAAGTTTGTACACGCAACAATTGGGCGGGGCTTAAGTTTCGTACCGGCGTCACGACAAAATGTCTAAAGATTTCTTACCGAGACGATTCATTTGAAGCACTACGAGTCGACTTTTTTTTATAAATGAATCAATAGTTTTAAACATGGTGCACATTTCGATTTATGCCTTAGCAGGATATTTCACTTCACTTAGAGCTTCAAAAACCCATAATAGGGGCTTGATAAGTTATAATGAACAAAAAACATATGCACTCAGGACTAATTGATCATATAGTAAAAATCAAGTGTAAAATAAAGAAGTATTTTCTAGATAAATAAAAAAGTAAGATCTTGTTTTTATAAATAAGAAAAAATTAAGTAAGTTTTTCCTTTAAAATAAGTTTAAAAATCTGCAAATGGGGTAAGGAAAAAATCTTGCTTTACCTTTAATAAGATAATTTTGCTTACCAAAATTGGCAGATTTTTTTTTTTTTTTTTACTTAAGGAAAAACTCTTTATTTTGACATTTATTTTTTTTTAAATGATTTAAACGTTTTATTGATTTTTCTTATTTGCAAATAATGCAGATGAATATCAAATGCAAAGCAATACTAGATAAGCAGAACAACACACACACACACAAAATAACATCAAATAAATAATTATGTTTTCAATATAATAGCCTTAATCATTATTTTATCTCGTTATGTTTGCTAGCAGCGTGGGTCACAGAAATTCTCCCCATTTACAAAACAAATTTCGATCCTTCCATGTAAACTGTAGGACTGCCACTTGTCTCTGAGATGCACTCAAAGATCGGTGGTCCACTGGAAGATTTCCAGTTTTTAACAATCACCCATCTGCCTAGCATGACACAGCTCTGTATCTTGACATAATATTTCTAAAAAAAAAAAAAAAAAAAATGCAATATTTTTAACCTGTCTTTAAAACCCTCCTTGATTCAAGAATTTTAAGATCTTTGACCAGAAACAAGACAGAAACTCTAATAAAACCATTCTTCTTGCATTTAGTTATCGTTAGTAAGATATTGTACTACTAATAAAAACAAAAAGTAATTTGGAGATTTTAGCCCAGAGACAACAGAAGTCAGGGTAAAAGTCATTAGAAGGTTTATAGGGTACTCACCTACTGAAGATTCTTTCACACCAGTGATTGTGTCTTCAAACTCCACAGCCGCTTAAAGTCTGTGATTAAACGTTTTCAAATTTAGTAAAAAGTTACACATAGCAAAGTTCATATATATATATATATATATATATATATATATATATATATATATATATATATATATATATTTTTTTTTTTTTTTTTTTAACGGGAATAGCCTACATACAAAGGACTAGTAAACTTTAACTACAGTGCTCAGCATAACTGAGCATACCCCATTTCGGAAATGAATATTTTTATCCATTTTTCAATAAACTAAGGTCATATATTTTTGGCGCATTTGAACAAAACTGATTTATTGAATGAATATATTTATTAAAATTATGTTTTAGTCACCAAATGCCTTTAAAAATAGAAGGATAATACATTTAAACTCTTGAAATATTGGGGGGGGGGGGGGGGGAATTACAAATTACAACATTTCAACAAATGTATTTGTTTCTCTTAAATTTTGCTCTTTGAATTTTTTTATTTACATTTTTCCCTAACATATAAACTCAGTTGTTCTAATTTGGGATCATTATCAAAAGTTATTTTGTTCGATTAGCTCGAGATGTGGCTTCAGTATGGACTAATCTAATGTGTATGCACAAATAAAATACTTTAAAGCATCCTATAGAAAATATTAATTTAAATGAGAGATTTGTGAGGGGTGTAATCATATATGCGGAGCACTGTAGCTTATTCCTTGGTGGAAAAATAATATTTTAATATAACATCACAAAACCTTTCCTTTCCCATCTGCATTCCCTCAAGAAATTATATGATGCAAATAATATAAAACATGCTAAAACTATATTTTCCATAAGTTTCTCAAGAGAACACAATAGTTTAAATATGCTAACAATTTGCAAGTTGTTTAAACAGGATTTTTGCAGGTTTAACCAAGTGAAGTTTAAGACTTTTTAAAAGACTTAAGACCACTATGAATGACATTTTAGACTTATACAGGGCTAAATGCTAAGAATTTGTTTCACCCGAATATCCCACTTAGAAAAGACTTTCAATTGCCAAATAAAAAAAAATTACCAAAAAAAATTCAATCAATTAATAAAACAATCATATTTTTTTCAATAATTTTTGCATTCTTTTAAATGAATTTTTAAATATATTCCTTCACAGACTTTTTAACCCTTGACAAGAATAGAACAAAACACAGCTGTCAATTACTTCAGTCTAAAAAGTAATAAAATGAAGAGGAAAATTAATACATGTTACAAAAAGATTTAATACCTACAACACATTTCAGTAGATTTAGGACTTTAAGGCTTAAAATTTAGCTTTTGATATTTAAGACATTAAGACCCTGCAGATACCCTGTTACATTTTACAATTAATTTTTTATTTGTTAACAGTTTTATTTGTACAATTAGTTAGGTAACTACAGTATATTAGCTAACACAAACCAACGATTAATCAATCTACAGCATTTATTAATTATAAATGTTAATTCTAAATAATATTTAACATTAAATTAGTTAAAAGCAAAGTTGACAGTGTATGCTGTATCTTTTATGTATTTTACATAGCTGTACTTTATAGCAAAGTTTTTAAGAGATAAAATTTGTATATATATATATATATATATATATATATATATATATATATATATATATATATATATATATATATATATATTTGTATATATATATATAAATAATGTATTTTATTACATTACTTTTTCCTTCATCCACACAGCCTATCAGGCGCAGTATGCGGGGGAGTGTTCGGACAGTAGCTCAGGTAAGCCCAAAACACATCAGGAAAGACATTGGGCAAATAAATGATCAGAATTTCACATTTGGACGGGATTAAATTTCTCTGGAGATCACAGAGTTTGTCCATGAAACAGTAGGTGTTTGCAATTATCACAAAAAAAAAAAGTATGAAAACAGACCTGGGAGATTAGGATGGAATTTAAATCTCTTCTGAGAGACACAAAGATTTCCAAAGACCTCCAGAAAAACTAACCACTTCCAAACAGAGATAATGGGGCATATGCACAGCTCGTGTTTTTCAGCCAACGGTAAACCTCCGGAGAAAGCTTAATGTGACCAATTTCATAAGGTTCTTTTTAAAAGCACCGATGTTGTGATGTAATAACAATACAATCAGTTAAATAGAGTTAAGCATTTATTTAGCTGTTCAAGTGAAAAGCGAAATGAAAGACTTTAACCAATAGTACCGTCAGGATCAGCAGGCGAGCTAAGAAACTCCTTTGAAAACACTAAATAAGGTAAAATAAATTGTCACATTTTCAAGACTTGGAGGGGGGAAAATAGAATTGAATGCAGTGCTTCTTGTCCGCTCTGAGACCCAATTTCTATAGTATGTCTATCAGGCAGTGAAGATAACTGACTTTTAAAGAAATCAGACCTTAAACGTGGCAATTTTATAATGGAAATCGAAAGCGCTGAGGCTTAGTGGCTGAAATTATAAGTCTGTGTACATATACCCCATTACGGTGTAAAGATGGAAATGAACACTTATGCATTTGCTCTATTAGTTAAACAAGTATTTGAAGGTCACCTATTTGCAGGCACTTTTAAAAACCCTGACCTTCATTTCTTTCATGTAGGAGTTTGACCAGACGACATACTACAACCCGAACTGGATCAACACACTGCCCATGGATATGTGAAACCACAAATCGAACAATGCTGTATATATTGAATTGTAAATATTGCATTAACTATCATCTCTACTACATGGGAAAAGACGTTGTTCGGAAACATCAATAGTAATGATGCAGGAATGACTTTTTGTGCTCGTCCAATAGCCCTGCAAATTGAAATGTGGAAAAACAATAGACATTGTAGCCAAAAACTAAAAATCTAATCTCAAGACTTAATTTGTGGACATTTTTTTAATTAAATAGTTCCCAAGTTTTAGTAATATTTCTCTCACTTTTTCAATTATGTCAATTAATAGACAGAATTAAGCTAAAATGAGCAATAACATTCTTTTTTTCCCCTCATTTCTTGTGCAGGGCTCCACAAATACTGTCAAATGAACATTTGATTTGTTTTTCCACCAATACACATCTATTCTGATGAGATATCTTTGTAAATACGAAAAAAACAAATTACTATTTTCATTTATTATTAACTTGCTGGATACAAAGAACCCCAAAGCATTGCATTTACTGATAACATTATCCATTTTATTGTGAAAAAAGTTGTTGCTTTTCATACACTAAGAACTGTACAATCAATAATTTAAAAAAAGTTCTTATGTTCCCCCCGTTGTCGTTGTTTAAAGAATGTCCAATAATTAGGCAAGTTATTCAGCAGCTTTTAGCTTCAACCAACAGAAAATAGTGTTTACAATTGTGTTCCTACTGCTCCACCAAATCACATTTCCCTTTATCCCATTCACACCTTTCAAAACCGCCCATTTGGCAACACCAAGAGGGTCCCATCATACTGTCAACCATCACACGCAAAAACCATGAGCGTGTTTTTAAAACAGAGGCTTCGATTACAAAGAAGAAAACACTTTACAATACCAAAAAAGAGAGGTTGAAATGGAACGTTCTAACTAAGTCACAGAGTTTCTTTGCACTGTATGACGTGCAACGATATTACAGAGAACAACTTGTGCTCTCAGGTGAGAGGCTCAAAACTAATACCTACTCAAGATTCTGAAGATGCTCAAGAAAAGGAACAAAACACTTCTTTGTAGTATTTCTATAACCACAGCCTTTCAGGATTATTAAAACAGGGGAACCAAAACACCTTCTGTGGACCCTTTAGTATTTAAGTCACCCAACAGATGGACACTATTATGCACAACTGCTCTAAATGCACCACCGAACATGTGCCAGGTTCATTCTATCAGCTATAGCGACTGCAAAAGCCCTGGAGCGAATAGCTTATAGGTCAAACACCAAGAGCTTAAGGCCCTCTAAGGGAAGTTTAAAGGCCCCCTGCTGGCAGCCGTCGCTCAGCCGGGTTTAAACAGGCTTCATTGGGCAGCTCTTGTAGCTGGAGGCCGGGGCTCGTCCCTGAGATGAAGGGGGTGGGAGAAGCAAAGAGAAAAAGAGGGGGATTTGATCAACTGAAAAGCATCCATAATTCAACAAGCACAGCTCATCAGATCCGAAAGAAACAAGCAGACGCTTCTGACACGTTCGAGATCTAAAAGGAGCGCTATGACGTTTCTATTGTGCTTGATATTTAGGAGCAAGCTTGAGCGGGTTTATTATCCTTCATTCTGACATACATCTATAGAGAAGTCATGCTGCGTGTGCAGATTGAAAGGGCTTCGAGCTAAGACCTGACTTTTGAACTCATGCTACAACACTGAAAACTGGTAGAACACATGTGTGATTAAATCACGGAGCATTTTAGCCAGAGACTGCTGAAAATTGTGCTGAAAATATATCAGGAGAGAACTGAAATGCAGGAGATATGAAGGAGAAAATCAGGCTGCAAGGCTTGAAGTCTGAACGTGAGTGGTGAGGTAATTACAGTGTAGGGTTATAAGATTGGAAATATAACAAATAACCCCAAAACAGACATGCGGGAAATGCAAGTCAGAGAAGGAAAGGAGCTGAGAGTAAAAAATAAACTAAAAACAGACTAAAAACCCTTTGCCAATACTGTCCCCTGAGGAGAAATTTCCTGCGATCCTTGGTTTCTGACCCAATGAGGAACAATTCATCAAAGTTTGCTGGATCTTCATAATGGAAAGAAGGCGAATAAAAGGTGCCATGGAAATGTTTGTGCCTAGTGCTCCCGCAGTCCACATTCTCTCTGGTGATTAAGTCACTGTGCAAATGACCATCAAATTCAGACACGACCAATTCGCAGTGCAAATCACATTTTTTAATACATCAGTTCAAATGTAAGCACTACAAATGGCCTCAGCCCTCTCACTGTAGGTATGCATGCAAGACCATGTGACCGTTCGAGGTACTTCAGCTTTTCTACAGGGAAAACAGAACCCCTGTAAAGAACAAAAAAAAAACACCATATGCAGAGCACTGAGGATTAGGAGTATGAGCAAATAACACAACCAAAGCGGAAAAAGCCCATAAAGCAACTTCAAAATCGCAGCCTCTCAGCAGCCACTGCAGGGTTTGATCTGCATGGATTCTCCAGCAGAGGGCGCTAGCGTGGCAGGAAACATGCTGTAGGTGGTCACCGCATGAGTGATAAATGGTGTACTGCAGCAAGGTGAGGGAGTAATGTGGCTCTTAGTAGCAGCAGGAAGTGCTCTTTCACTTGCTGCTTTCCCCGTGTTGAGAGGTGCCACACCCGTGTTGCGTCATCGACCCAGCCCTGTGTCGCTTTCCTTGTGTGTTTGTCCGCGTGCACCTGAGTGTTATATAAGTGAAGGGAGGGGGGGCGGCCCGTCCCTGTGCCTGGAGGCTAGGAGATCTTACAGTTGTTCCTGGTGCAGTTCTGTGGTGGACTTTGTGGCGGCCGGATGGATTTGGAGCGTTTAAGACTGTTACCTTTGCTGCCTCCGGCGGCATTGGCCAGCGAATACGAGCGGCCGTGCATCATGACAGCATTCATGCCGTTCGCCATGGAGAATGACTTCAAATGGCTCTTGATGGCCACAGGAAGTGGCAGCTTATCGATTAGGTGCACAGGGGTGCAGGAAACAATGGCACGGCAGCACAAGTCCTGCAGACTGAATACTGGAAAGACACAAAAGACAAAACACACACACACACATTTCAGTTAAAAGACAAAAACGATTGAAACAACCTGGAGGCTGAAGCATTACCATAAACCATAAAAACAACAAAAAAATAAGCAAATGGTACTCTGGGGATTCAACAGTAGCTGCCTCGGTGCATCTGCACGCTCGGATCATTTTTTATTCTCTTTACAAAAGTAATGAGAATGTTTTAAATTATTCAACATTCCCTCAGCAGATGTTAACACGCTGCCTGCCTGCATCTCTTTTCTGACAGAGGCAAATGCAAATGATGAGATTCACATGGGAAGCTTGACATGGGAATGTTAGTTATCGGTATTAGAAAGTGATATACAAGGGGGAAAACCTCGTTTGGTACGTTTAGCTAAAAAAACTATGTGAACAGCTTGGTGCTGTTAGCAAGGCTTTTTTACAGTCTGTGTTTGAGACTGACAACCATATTTACAAACAGGTGCAACTGTTTCAATTAATAATGAACTCTCTACTTCTTACTATGGTTTACAGGAAGTTCTCATCTCTCAATATTCAGGAACAAAGCCTGTAACCAGTCAAAGCAAATAAAATATGTTTCATAATATAATATATTATAATATAATATAATATAATATAATATAATATAATATAATATAATATAATATAATATAATATAATATAATAATATATTTAATCTGGTTTTAATAATTTTTAATTCTTTTTTTTCTTGTGCTATATCCAAATATCTAAATGTGCTATATAAATAAACTTGCCTATAATATAATATAATATAATATAATATAATATAATATAATATAATATAATATAATAAACAGTGCTGAACAAAAATTTGTCTTGATTAAACTTATCCAAATTAATAGTTTGTGTTGACATAATAAACGTGTGCGTATTGTGTATATTTATTTTCCATACATAATTACACACATGCATGCATATATTTGAGAAAACGTGTATTTATATTTAGCTATAATATATTTGTATATGATACAAAATATCTATAATTTTAAATATATATGTTTTGTATATGTATGTGAGTGTGTGTATGTATATATATATATATATATATATATATATATATATATACACACACACATATACATATTTATATATTTCTTATGATAAAACAAACTTTTATTTCAGATGTGATTAATCGCAATAAATTTTTACCAGTTTACCAGTTTTAACAATTAATTTTTATCAGTAATAATATAATATAATATAATATAATATAATATAATATAATATAATATAATATAATATAATATAATATAATATAATATAATAATTAATATAATATAATATATAACAAAACAATGTCGGTGATTGTTATTCATTTCATTAAGCAAAGTAAAAAAAAAAAGCAGTACTTGTTAGCTATTATTACGACAAACATTTAAAATAACTGTTTTCTGTTTATAATTTTTATGGGTTTATTAATGTTCAAAATAATAATTTGAAATAAAACTCCCATGTTAAATTATAAATACTGACAGAACAGATATCTTGACTGCCAAAATTTGATTCATATATAAATATAATGTTGAAAGGTAAAGATAATATGATATAAAGATAATGTTAATATAAAGTAGGATAACATATTCTGCTTCTTCATGAAAACAGCTAAGGAGAGCAAAGTAGAGCAGAAATCGCTGCCATTTTGAAAAGCTTGTTGAAAGTACTTCCCATCCTCAGAACGGCAGGATGCTGCATCTGCTAAACAGCTCATCTGAGGCACTGCGAGGTCTCATGGGAAAATCCCACATAATAGTGGAAACAGACAGAGAAAGAAGTGCCTCGCTGAAAGCCTTCTGCCTCTAATTATGCTGCTCCGGACTACATAACAGTGTGGTTTTCTATGCTAATGGAAAGCTACGCTGATCATGCCAGCATTTCTCCATCACCCAGAAGGTTGAAACCAAACATTTCCACTGTATTTATGGGACTGTGTTTTAAATGGATAGATCACCCAAAAACAAAAATTGCCATCATTTACTCACACTTGACTTGTTCCAAAGCTGTTTTTTAACAGAAGATGTACATAAGAATGTTGGAAACACGTAACCATTGACTTCAATAGAAAAACAATTACAGTGCTCAACATATACGAGTACACCACTCACAAATCTCATTTAAATTCATATTTTCTATATGAAGCTTTACAATATTATATTTCTGCGGATACATTAGTTCAGTCAGTACTGAAGCCACATCTGGAGCTAATCTAACAAAATAACCAACAATAATTGTTTAAAAATTTGTACACCCAATCTTATATGTTAGGGGTAATTATTAAATTACATTTTCAAAAATCTTTCCTTTTCTAAATATGTTTGGTGACTATTTTAATATTATTTTAATAAATATATTGATTTAATAAATCCATTCTGTTTAAATGCAATAATATAAATAACCCCAATTTACTGAGAAATGTATAAAAATATTCATTTTCAAAATGGGGCGAACTCGTATTTGCAGAGCACTGTACTATGGAAGTCAATGGTTACAGGCTTCCATCATTCTTCAATACATCACATTTTAATACTGTTAATCAGAACGGAACTAAAAAAAAAAACTGATCATATTATGCAATACCCTGTAATGATTTATTTTCTTTCCTCTTAGATTTTTGTTTGTATATATTTATTATTATTAATCTTTTTACTATTGGAAAGAGTATGAGCAATTCCAGCATTATGGATGAGATATTTGCAGTAAGAACTCTAAACATAAATTCACATGGAAAGTATACGTTAACTGTATATTGAAACATCTGTATATATATTTTAAAACAACTAACCACCGAGTTGAGGGATCAGAAAAATATTAATCTGTAAACATTTTTAGATATTAAATGAGGAAAATAAACATGCGTTATAGATGCGACCAAAAAGTGCACATTTTACACCATACTTTGTAGTAGGGCTCTACTATTAGGGGGAAAATATCTAACTGCGATTTCTTTCACAGATATTGTGATTTTGTTTTAGTTAAGCTTCAGCTCAATCACACTTCTTATATGGCCACTTGTGGTGCTTTTTTTAGGTGCTGGTTGTTGTATTTCCTCTTGCTGGCAGAAATTCTGCGACAGCTCTTACAAATGACCAGTTTTTGCTTAGTGTCTTTGACTTTGAAACCAAGATATTCCCATATTACCGACATGCTGTTTTTCCTTGATATTGATTTGTCTATTAATGCTTTTGAAACATCAGATGCCATCATCCCACTCGTCTGCGCTTTCCAGTTTGTTTGTTTGTATTGTGGACATTACGCATGTTCTGTTGCACTATTCTGATTGGCCGAACGCAAGTGTGCTCACTCAATTGGCTAGTAAGACAGTCGTGCACAGATAGCAGTCATGCGTTTGCTCTGGGTGGGGGAAAGTAAATAATATATATATTCATATTGCAGCCTCTTGTAATTAGCTAATCGCAATGTTTCAAATCACGATTGTGATGAGATTAAATGCACAGCCCTACTTTGTAGCAATTCTGTAAATTAACCTGCCCAACCCAAACGAAAACAATGCTAACTAAAATTATAAAAGTTGGCTCTCCATATAACAAAAATTATTGATTTAATTTTATTTTACAATTTTATATTTATGAAGAAAAAGCTTCATTATGGATGTGACAAATGCGAAACACTTTATGACTTTCAAATATAATTGTTTGAAAACACATTTTTGAGTATTTTTACAGTACTCCATCAAAACCTAAAAGGTTTTGCTATTTTAGTGAAAACTTTTTTTTTTTTATGGCAAGGTTGACATTTGCATTCAATTGCTCGTATACTTTTTGGTTGTTTCTATCCATCAACCCCTTGCTCCCAGAAACACCCCCCTGGTTTCATAATGAGTTTACAGGCCTTCGACAATCCCATATACACATGTATAAATAATTTATCTAATCGGTTTTCCATTTTTTTCCTGTATATTCTAATTTTGGTAAGAATTTTGAGGTTTGTAAAGGTGTAAAAATGTGTCAAATTAATATTAAATTAATATCAACACCATAAAAAAACGCAAACTGGTTTGGAAGAGTAAAGGTTGTGAGTAGACAATGACCAAATTTTTATATCTGGATGAACTATCCCTTTAAAAATGTCAGGTAGAATCTGCATATTTGTTACTTTTTCGTAAACAGACATTGCTGTGTTTTACATCATAAATAATGTTAAATTTTTTTGTCATAATGAGCATGTTCAAGAGGAAACCTCACCTCTGTTGGGCCTCCAGAACTTCTCCATCCCATGCCTCATCAGGACGATGCGCGAGAGCTCTGTAAAGGACTCGATGACGTTGAAGTTGCAGAGAGGACTCACTTCAAAAAATGTCATGCCATTCTTTTCTGCGTATGCCCGTGCCTGTTCTGTGGGAACCTGTCGCTTGAACGCCAGGTGTAGCCGGTTACCCACTAGAATACGGGGCACTCCAGGTGCATGCTGGGGAAAGACAGAGAGACAAGAAAGTGTTTCAAACGGGGGATGGGGAAGACCAGAAAGGTAGAAAACACAGAGAGGAAGATACACGGTGCTGTCAGACTGAGTGAGTCTCAAACAGTGTCACAGCTGGCCTGTCTCATTTATTTATTCAATGAGGCCTGTCATATCTGTGCCTTTCTCTAGTCCACAGAGAAAAAGAGCACTCGCTCATGTTTAGAAGCTGTACTGAGCAGTGCATTTACATCAAACACGGACTGTGCAATATGACAATATATATATATATATATATATATATATATATATATATATATATATATATATATATATATATATATATATATATATATATATATATATATATATATATCAAATGAACTAAAAAAAAGTTTATCATTTCGTATTTTGCTTTATTTTTCATTTTCTGGTGTAATATTTGTATAATTTATATGAGCGCTATAATACACACCATTACATGAATGTAGACACAATCATGAATAACATCACAAGAAAGTTGCAATCTTGAAATGCAGTGTTTACATTTTGCATTTTATTTGACGATACTGGTTTATTTTTGTTTGACCTGTAATTGTTAGTTTATGCATACGTTTGATTAATAATAACTTTATATTTCTATATTGTTTTTATAAAACATTCCTTATAGCTCTTAGTGTTCAATGTGAAAAATATGAGCACATATGAATGAGCAAACTTCTTAGTTTACACTTTTTAAATGTAAAAAAAAAAATCCTTTATATGTGGTAATAATTATTCTACTAATGCTAATCAACTATCAATTGACATAAATGGTACTGTATTGTGATACTGTATTATGTTATCTGATTACGAGAACAGTACATCAATCTAGTGTTTCAAATCTTACTCTTTCAATTTGGAGTAAAGTCTCGATCAATAGACAATTAGACATAACTGGAAAGAGTTTGACTGGAAAACAAAAATGAGTTTTTTTAGAGCGCCATTGATGGTGTCAAAATATGTTAACAGTCCACAGTCAGAGGAATGCTAGAGGGGTTGCAGGAATGTAGGCAATCACACACACATATTTTGAGAATGTCTGACGTTACTGGCATTTTGGCAAGGGATAAAGATTGAGATAATGAAAATAATGCTGTTAGATCTACCTCCTACTGCCCTGGTTTGCTTGCTTAAAGGGATACCCCAGGATGTATATAATAAAAACCAGTGAAATAAACTACATAAACTTTTACTGAGTGCAAGAAAGTCTATAACTATGCATTGGATAAGGCCACACCCTCCAACAATAGCACAGTGGACAAAAAACATAGTATTCCCAGCTGTATAATAGAAATTTAAAAATGATGTATGTATTTTTATAATTAGTTTTTTATTTACGGGTAATGTTACTTGTTATTATTTATATATAACTGCTGCTGTCACTGACTGTTTAGTCCTATACATTTTTAAAAATGTATAAAAATAAAATTACAAAAATTAAAAAACAAACAAATATATAAATACATAAGTAAATAAATAAATAAATCATTGGATTTTTACATTTCATACATTATTCATACAAATGTGTGCTTTTACTTTGCATGAAAGCATTTTGCCTAATTTACATGACATGCGTGTGCATTTCATTTTGTTCTTAATAGGGTTGGGCATCTAAGCTATAATGCCGATCCGATACGCATCTCGATACAAAGAATACGATCCGATATATTAGCGATACATTTGTGACATATTGCGATGCGACACGATACGATTCACACCCATATCACGATACGATGCGATATTTCAGCACTAACTAATTAGATCAAGTTTATGAGATTATGTGAAAGAGGATGCTGTGCCATTGAATGAGTTTGATTGATTATTTATTAACCAAGCAAAACCAAGACTTTTTTTACAAACTGGCTTTTCTCTCAGAGCCAGAGTGTCAGTTTACAGTAGAGGGCCATTTTAGAACATATAGCACATATTATTTAAGTATTTTCAAGATAAACAGAATGTATAAGTGCAATATATATTAAAATATATATATTTGCACTCTTTCAACATAAAGGTTTAGCATTGCACAACAAGAATTGTGATTTAACTTTTCAACTATGAAAACAAGTTTTACAAAGATATATTTTGCCACTGAATATTCAAAACTTAAGGTCGTGAACTAGCAGTGTTATGCTGCTTTGAAACATCACTGTCACTGTAAACAACAGGCTAATAAAAATATAACAAACCAGCAATCTTCTTGCTGTGAGGTGGTCAAACTACCCACTGTGCCACCGTGACGCCCATTATTTTTATCATTATTATTATTAATATTATTATTATTGTAATTAAATAAAAATTAACAGAAGGAGGTGTTCAAAACCTTCGTTCTCCGTGACACTAGGCTGAATATCTTTGCAGATGAACAGGGCCGGCACGTCCATAGAGGCGACCTAGGCGGCCGCCTAGGGCGGAAGTATAGAGAGGGCGGCGTCCGCAACACCCCCCCTTACCACCCGCATCCTCAGTTATGTCCGCGACACCTCCATCAGCGCCCGCTTGTCCTCAGTTATATCCGCGCATAGGGTGGCAGAATAGAGGTCCGCGACACCCACGTCCTCAGTTATATCCGCGCATAGGGCGGAAGAATAGAGGTCCGCGACACACGCGCGTCCTCAGTTATATCCGCGCATAGGGCGGCAGAACAGAGGTCCGCGACTCCGGCGCGTCCTCAGTTATATCCGCGCATAGGGCGGCAGAATAGAGGTCCACTGGAAGATGGAGCTTTCACAACAACACAGTGGCGCCGCTTCAAGTGAGATTTCAGATTAGTCGTACTGCCCGTGTATTTTACAGATGCGCGGCACACTTTTGCAAATTGCATCTGTCCTGTCATGTCGTCCATCCTTAAATCCATAATGTTGCCATACTTTAGATTTAAAACTCAGTGGGGAATAAAATGTTTGTTTTGCTTCTCGCGCTTTCTGAGGGCACTCCACTAGCTTCATCCGCACACCTGATACAGTTGTAGTGTAAGTGTACACATCCGCAAATCCGTTGCTAAGGCTTACTTTAAGTAGGTCGATTAAATTATGCGCCAAAAACAGGTTGACAACACTTGTTAATAAATAAAAAATACATTCTATATTAAAAATATAAGCTGTATCTTGGAAAAACCGATGCATCTCGCAAAAACCGATGCATCTCGATTTGCTTCCAAAATTTCATTCATCCTCTGCTGCTCTACCGATGCACTCGCATCGTGCACGCGCATGACCGCGTATCGATACATATCGGTTAATCTTCCCATCCCTAGTTCTTAAGCATTCTAATCCTTTCCTTTGTATTTCATTTAAAGTATTCTAAATTTGTGAACATGTGATGTGGTTAAACATTTGCATAAAACACATTCAATTCCTCTCCTTGTAAGGGCTTTTAACACGACTCTACTATTAAGCCTTTTTTACTCTTGTCAACCAAAAGCCACTCTCTACTATCTCACTAGATTCTCCAGCAACGTTCAGCGTTACTCTCAAATCCAGTTCAAACACAATAAACACCTTGTGTTAAGACAAGGGTAACAACTCTCATTCGCCCAATTCAGCAGCATATACACTTACTTAAAAAAGTGTATCTTATTCAAAAACAAAAAATTATGTGTTCTTATTCAAAAACAATTTGCCGGCCAAGCCATAACCATTCTTTTCCTACTTTCATGATATACAGTATGATTTTTTATATATATATATATATATATATATATATATATATATATACATACACACACACACATATATATACATACATACATACATACATACATACATACATGCATACATACATATTAATAATATTGTAATATTGTGATATTGTGATAATATTGTAAATAATTTAAATATCTAATGTATAAATGGATATAATGCAATAATTTACATGTATTAATGTGTGTGCGTATATACACATATATTTATATATTATATAGTGTATATAGTATATAATATATAAATAAAATTTCATTCATTGGTTTTTATTTATAATTTATCAATTAAACATGAAAACATGTATGTATGAAGAGACCCATTTTTAGAATCTGCATTCATGTCATACCTCCACCAAAAAATAAATAAATAAATAAACAAAAAAACAATAAGACCATGTAGAGATTTACAAAATATCAGCACTGCTTGTTTACCATATCAGCCAATATTAATAATATATTATCTCATGTATTGATAATAGTAAGGAAACTGGTCCTGGGCAAGTCCACTGCAGTCTGGGACACAAACTTTCTGACATAATGACTTCTATCAAATGCAGGGCAACTGAAAATTAAATCAACCTCACTGCAATCTTACTTTTTCATACAGGCCGCATCGTCTATGTTGAGCACAAGTATCATTTAGCGCTGGGTAATTAATAGAAATGTAATCAAAATCGACATTCAAAACCTATAATTGATTACATTTTCTAGGACGATTTTTAAAATTACTTTCCCAACGTGCCACATGACCCCGCTCTGTAAAGGCTGTGGCTGATTTCTACTTCTACAGCCACTTTGCAGCCACATCTGGTCTTTGGTCAAGTAGGACGATGGACCTATTCTTGAGCCGTGCCTGCACTACATTGACGATGATTGGAAGCTATGCCAGAGAGGCCTTTAGATGGCATAAAAACTGGACAGTGAACAAAAAAATTGAATAAATAAATGAAATAACCTATCATTTATCATAAAAAAGTTAAAATGTTTAATTAATTGAAATTTTGCTTTTAGGCCAAATTACTATTATGATAAACACATAAACAAACAACATCAACTCATTATGATGCAGTAAGCTCACAATCCAGAGCCAGTCTATCATGAACAAGCTCAGGACAGTTAAAAAAAAAAAAATCTACATCTTTGAATTAAATCAATGAAAAATGTTTATCTTTGGGTGAACTATCCCTTTAAATGGCTAAATGTTTATTAGCTTTCTGGCAAAGACTTTAAACATTTCCTCCAAATACTAATGTGATGCTTACTGTGCAAATCCCTGCACCATGCACCCTTCCAAAGCTCAGCAAGGTCAAAGCTCGTTCTGCAATGAAATGACTCACTGTGAATCATCAGCTCAAGTCTGACTCGAGTAACTGCAGCAAAGTCAAAGCAGAGGCTCAAGTATTTCAATATTTACAAAAGCAGGTCAAGAGTCCTCAGGTTTACACCTCTGCTTGCAAACTAATGCAACATGCTTACCCCATTGTCTGTGAGCAGTCTGTATTTTTTTGTGGAAGAAAAAAAGTCTACAAATAACAGATCCGCACGTTTACACGAATATACACTACTCAAACAAGGAAGGAAGGAAGAGACTGTAACTGTAGCCTATGTGTGGAAGGAGACTGTAGTAAGGAAGGACATCCTCTCTAGATATCAAGCACAGGAACAAGAGGAAGGAAGAGGAGAGTCAGCGCGACACTGTATGTAAAGAGTTCACCTCGCTGGAAAGTAACTCTTCAGATAATTAACAGTTTCAGTATTTTGTGATTTACAAGTATTTTCTGTTTGTTTGCAGTTGTGAATTGCATTTCGAGACCTCAATCTCTGCTCTGTTGACTTTTGATGTTGAAAGTTCAACTCTATAGTTTAGCAAAGTGACTTTTTTGTAATTTTAATAGTTTGAAAAAAGATATAGTATACGCAATAATATATAGAGAAAAAAGTTTGTAAAATAACAGCTAATGTACTGATGTTTACTACAATGTTTTCGTCCTGTATTATACAACACCAACCCAGACAATATATTAGGGCTGCTCGATAATGGAAAATCTGATATTGCAATATTTTATTCTTCTGCAATAAATATTTTGATACAAATACAGATTCAGACGATGGTTTGAATAGCAGTATTTGATGCTTTTTAGGGGAGTCTAACAGTATTCAGGTACAAAAACTGAATGATTACAATACAAAAAAAATGCTTTTCTTACTTTGTTTTGCTTTGTCTCATTTCTAGTCCAAATATCAACTAAATTCTGAGTTCAAGTAAAAACATTTTGTTTTAAAATTCAGATGGAATAAAGAAAAATTAAGAGTTCTTACTTAAAACAAGCAAAATTATCTGCCAGTGGGGTAAGTTCAAAAAGCTTGTTTTCGCTTTGAAATGTAGATATTTGGACAAGAAACAAGACAAAAACTCTAAGCACAACATATTTATTTCTTTATCTTTTTTGTCGTTGCATAAAATCACATAAATACAGCGATTAAATCCAATTCTGTAGCACCTGGTCAACTATAATTAGGCCCACAGAGAATTTTTAGTCTATCATTGAGTCTGTATTTACTTGCGAAATTTTATATTTATTCAGTTTTTAAATGAATTTCACTAATATTATTGTGATATAGTAGTAATAATAATAATATTAGTAATAACAACATTAAAATGTTCATTTGATTTTTTTTTACAATACAGTTTGTAAAGTAATATGTTCTGTCTTTTAGTAGAAATATTTTTTGACAGAATTACTTTGTTTACCAAATAAGTGGATTTAATTGGATTTGCATTGTAAATATTAAATAAAAAGTACTTTAAATAAAAAGTAAAAAAGCTATTGTTTCTGATTAATAATATTATTATAACCCTGACACCAGTCAACGGGCCTGACACAGACACACATACACAGACAGACACACACACACACAACGCGCTGCAGACGTTTTGGCCCCAGCGGCTTTCCATACTGGAGCGACTCCCCTCAGATTCAACACGCATGACCACGTTCATCAAATTTGCTTAAACTAAGCGCCCTAAAGTATTACTGTATTTCACAAGGATTCTGACACAACAACGCGAAGCATACGCTTTCATTGCGTTTAATGAGGAAACACGCTAAACTTGGAGGGCTTATGCTGAAAGGCAGAGTAATGCCCTGTCTTTGACAGCTCGCGACTTCACCAGATGAATACATTTACAGAAGACACCAATACTCTGATTTTAATATGATTAAGATAATACTCTTATTAAAATTCTACCGTGTAGCCTTAAAAGGAACCTTACCTTAAAGGAACACCAAGTCACGAAATGGGGAGGAAACTGGATAACCTGTGATGCAACTAATTGTTTTATACTGGAACTTGCCTTCAAAAACTGCTTCCTTGGTCTTATCCACATTTATTGCATGTTAAACACACGTCCACCACAATAGGAAGTAAAAAAAAACAAAAAAACCTGCGACTGCGTTAATTGCGTTAATTTTTTTTAACGCGTTAATTATTTAAAATTAATTGCATGCGTTAACGTGTTAATTTTGACAGCGCTAGTTTTTAGCTATGATACCAACTAAAATCTTTCCGCATAAATTCGCAGATTTTTTACAAAATTCTTCACAGAAATAGCGAAAAATGTCTGCAAATTATGTCTGCAAATTCAGGCTAAACATGGCATTTCTTTGCGATGTGACTACTGTGGATGTGCAAATTGCGATTTCACAATACATTGAAGCAATATATTGTGCAGCCCAAAAATGTATCACTTTAAACCAGGCAAGCATGGGCTGGTATAAGATATGATGATATCATTGGTATGATAACCAAAATAAAAATCACGGTTTTGTGATTACTGCTGTAAAATATGTTCTTTTTAAGGGTAAAACAACTTTTTCCTCCTTTGAACACAATTTATTTTGGTTTAAAAAACATTTTAAATATTTTGGAAGAGTAGCTATTGATGTCGAGGGTCCCTTTTTTGCTGGAGATACTGTTGCCCTAAAAATAACTAAACAAAATAGTCTTTGAAAAAAAAAAGGTTTTAAAACCTTCGCGAAAACTTTGAAGCCAGTTACCGTCCCATGTCTACTTTAAACTAATAAAAATTTGAATAAAAGTCACTTTTTGTGTAAACAGACAAAAAGCGTACAGAACATATAAAAAGGCAACTCTGAGGCTGATAGTCCTTGATTATTACTGCACAAGTATATTTGTGATATCACTTTTTAGATTCAGTTTAAAATTTACCTCATCAATCTCCCTGATCCAGCGGTCTATCCCATCAAATGACCAGCGGTTGGTGATGTCATACACCAACAAGATCCCCTGCAGAGGACAAACAAACATGCATTGTTAGCCGGTATCCTGTTCATGCAGCGAGGAGGGACTTTAACAGACTTACAGGACAAGAACTGCACGCTGGAAAAACATTTCAACACACACCAAGCAAATGAAAACGAAAGACTAAAATTTTTGGTCAAAAACATTTGTTAAATCAAATAAAATAAACAAAATCACAATAAAAGAAAAATTAATAAGCAAAAATAATAATCATTAATAGAATTAATAAGCACTCATTCGGTGGGAGAAAATCTGACCTGAAGAACCTGTAGATGGCCATTTTACAGCCAACGTACGAGTCAAGCTCATGATTATATACACAAACATATTTTCTATATAGACACAAAACATGTTCAAACTTTTCTTCATTTGCCCAAGATAGTAAATCATTAATATTAAAGTCCTAATTCTTTCTAATTGGTTTAGTTTTATTCGTCTAAGTTGCATTTGCATGCCTTTGGATTAAGTGTCTGTTTAAACATTTATTTTATTACTGAGAGGTTTGCACATTTAATGCAAGTTATTGTAAGCTGTGCAAACATTAGACTTTGCTCTGGTTGACACTGGATGTGTTCTGTTAACTCTGTTAAACTACAAACACAAGTTATTTAAATATAAACTAAATATTAATATGTTCACAAAATTTTGTGAGAACACAAATTATTTTTTTTTAGCAAAATAAAAATATCCTTAAATAAAATTCCACTAGTTTTTCTTTAAATAAGAGTTTGATTTTAAACACCTCTGTATGTAACTACATTTTTACATTCTTGTGGACCATGTAAACTTGTTTATAGCTCGCGGATGTCTATTTTTTGCCTTTGGCAGAGCACTTAGCACAACACAAGTCTGCTGAGCAAGAGCAAACAGTGACACATAAACATTAATGTGCTTTTACCTGCGCTCCCCTGGAGTACGACCTGAAAATGGTGCAAAACCTGCCTTGTCCCGAAGTGTCCCTGAAAACAAACAGAGGCAAGTCAGGACAAAAATCGCAAAATAAACAGTCTGTAAACACTGTGTCAATAAAGCTTGATGCATGAGCTCAGCTTCAAAACACTGCAAGCTCCACTTACAGGCACCTTTCTAATAACCAAATTAAATTTCAGTTTTTAGAGTTACAAAAGCACATTTTAGAGAAAAAACACAAAGCTAAACTCATCCCATATTAATTAATGGGGAGCAAATTCAGTTAGTAACAATTTATAAATATTTGGGTGTGATGTTGGACAATAAACTCAAGTGGGATGTACGGACTGACTCTATAAGAAAAAAGCTTCAAACGAAAACGTACTTCTAAAAGAAACTCTTGTCATTTAATGTTGACAACACAATGTTGATTATGTTTTATAGTGCATTGAAACATTTTGTGTAATCTGTTGGTATGAAAATGCTTCCGAGGCCCAGAAGAGGTCATTGGGAAAGGGGGTAACAACAGCCAGTAAGTTGTTGGAAATAAAAATGTAGAGCATTGATAGTATATACAAAGAAAGAGTACTAAATTAGGCTATCATGATTGTCAATGAAGAGAGACATCTTTTACTAAACACCTTCCAATTGTTACCATCAGATCGATATGGTGTTCCTAGATGTGTAAGAAATAGGGAAAAAAAAATGTATACCTTAAGTTTTTTAATTCCTCCTCCCTCAGTGACAGTTAATGGCCAATAAACTGCATATTTATTTAGAATAGGGGTCCCATATTTCTAAATAATTTATTTATATATATTCTAAATGTCAAATGTCAGAAATCTCTGTGATTGTATGCTGCAAATGAGATTTCCCTACAAGGAAAAATAAAATTAACTAACTAACATGACATACATTATCTTCAGCAAAAACACGTGCATACTTAATTTTTCTAACCAGGCTTACAAGGCAACACATTTCACATTGTTTTTGCACTAAACAACAAGGTGTCAAAACTGAACAAAGCTTTTCACAAAAGTGTGGTTGCAAAAAAAGAGCAGAGGAGACGAGAAAGCACTGAAAACGGCAGAAGAATATGAGAATCTCAATTAAAAGATAGAAGTAAAAGCTTTCCTATTGTGATGTACTGTATAAATGAAACAATAATGTTTTGTAGTGGCTATAAAACAGTGTTTCTCAACCACGTTGCTGGAAGACCACCAACATTGCATATTTTGGATGTCACCCATGTCTGTCACACCTATTACCGCTCTTTCAGTCTATAATAAGCTGATGATCTTAATCAGGTGTGTTTGGTTAAAGACACATGGAAAAAGTGCAAAGCTGGTGGTCCTCCGGGAATGTGGTTGAGAAACACTGCTGTAAAACATTAAAAACACTTTACATAATTTAAACATAAACAAGAAACCAAGAGTATGCATACAGCATACAACAACAACAAATTAGTGGACAGAGATTTAGTAATATCCACTATTTGGATGAGCTCATGCTTACAGAACATTTTTTTTTAATTCCAATGTGCTACTTTTCAATTGTTTTTTAATGTAAACACATGGTTAACAGATAGGTGTTGCCATTATGCTTGTGCCTCACATCTTTTGAAGTGCCGAACACATAAATGTACATTTTTTTTAAATGCTACTGAAGCTTTTACACATAGCGTTAGTCATCAATGTATGATTCAAAGCACTGGACTGAGTAGAAGAACTTGTAGGAGGGGCCAGCATTGCAATCTTCTGTTTACAGGAATGCAAACAGTAAACTTCTGTTTACCTATGAGGGCTCTGTATCCCACTCTTACTCGTGAAGCAAATACGGAAGTAACTGAAACTTCAATTCAGCAACATTCAGCTAGTCCTGCTAGTTTTTCTTCAGAACTTGGATGCACTCCAGAATCTGACAGTTTGATTAGCTATAGGCTCTAGAACAGTCATCTGAAGTGTTGTCATACAGTGTTATGCCTGGATTTCATAAATAGCCCTGTATTTACTAACACAGACTATATTTAAAGTGTTGAAAGTAATTTGCGTTTTCCTCCTGTAGAAAAGGTCATAAGAACAATGCTTAGTGGCTCAATGTATTACAACATTGTTTTTAAAAGACTAAACACTTTGTTGATATAGTGTACAACCAAGCACAAGTGGTCAGAACACAAACGAGTCGCAGGTGATAAAGTATTACTTCCAAAGAAAAGCCAGTCTAAGCAAAACGCAAGCAGGCGTCTGTAGCTCCGCTCACACTCCACTTTTTTGCCCTTGTTTGCATCCCCTGGTCGGTGCAATGATGCACGAACAAAATGGTGATGGTTGGCCATGCCTACTAGTAGCTTCTTTTGCATTCTTCAGAAAGCTATGGATGATGTCACGGATACTACATCCATATCCTTTACAGTCTATGGTGGATACTCTCACACAAGTCTGTGATTTTTATTTTAAACTGATTCAGTTTTCATGTTTTTAAATGCAAATACACATTCTGTGTGAAATACCCCTTAAAAAACAAGCAATCAAATAGGGTTGTCAAAATTAATTGTTTCTTCGGTGCACTGCGATGCAGACGCGGACAATTCGGTATCGGTTCAGTAATAATCATAACCGGTTATTACTGACGTCATTTACCTCATATGCGCTCTGTCGCGAGGGAGGCGATCGCGAGTATTTACAGCGCTTTAACTACTTAAAACTCATAAACTGTGCACAATTTCACTGTGCGTGTTTGCTGGATCAGTCTTTCACTGACATATACAACAATAGCCCCTATTTCACTGAGATCGAGAGAATGAAAGTAGCCTACTCCATTTCTCTCTCTCTCTCTCGCTCTCTCTCTTTCTCACACACACACAGTGGCCCATTTGACCTGCTGACGTGGCGTTTCTTCTTTTCTCGGCTGTTTTACAGCGTTACTTTTGCATACAGAAACGAGCGCGTGTCTGCAGAGTTTTCTCCACCATGTCTATCATACATCAGCTGTGAGATCGCCGCTGCCGCTTATCAGTATCACTCATCTGTGAAGAACGCAGCGCGCAAAAGCCAATCGCAACCGTTTTTTTTGAGGGTGTGACCAATCAAAGGGGTGTAAGAGAAATAGACAATGATCAGAAATTGAGCTGGATGTTTATATTTGTTTATATTATTTGCTAAATGCTCGTTTTGTTTAAAGTTACAGTTTATATATCTGACTGTTTGTATTAAATGAAAAAATTGTATTACAAATAGTATATAAATATAAATATATTCATACATTTTAATACAAGAAATGCTGCTGTGAAGAAAATATAAAACTGTGTATGGAAAGCACCGTCAATGCACCGTGATTCACCGAAATATCGAATTGAACCGAATCGATGGCATGATAATCGTGACCGAACCGAACCGTGAGACTAGTGTAGGTTCACAGCTCTAACATGCTATAAATAAAAGTGTTTTGGGAGGTCTGAAGTGAGTAAATGAACCTGAGACCTTGTGGCGGTTCATTCCAGAGGTTGGCAGCAGAAATGCAGAAAGTCCTACCACCTACAGTAGTTAACCACAATTTGTGTACTGCAAGCTAATTGTCAGAGCTAGGTATGAGACGGAGCAGGGAAAATTCATTACGAATGGTAAGAAGATACTAAACCATGACTGGTTCTGAAAACTAAAACCACAATCCTAAATCGAATATGATAGGGCCTTAAAAATGAAGTAATGTGGGCTGATTTTATGGTAAATGTAGCTTCTTTAACATCAAAAAATACATGTGGCAGGAACTGATTTTGTATTTTTTATTAACTGGATTGTTAGTTCATGCTTTTGCATGTGTGACAGGTTGATGCCGCCCTCATGCTGCTGCACACATAAGAGAAAAGAATAGATGCTTTCGCAAGAGAGGAAAGGGAAGCTATTTTAAGATAATGAAAGACCATGAATTAAAAAAAGATGAACATGGATAAATCATGCATATAACAAGCATTGCAACCTTCCATCAAAAAAAGATCCGTCTGTTTGGATTTCATGGAGACTTTTATCATCAAGCTCGAGGAGGACATGAAAGGCATTTTAAACGGCCTATGAAAAGCGTTCCAAATCTGTCACATAAGAGGTTCCATTTCAGTTGGGATGCTCCCTTGAAAGGCAGCTGCCTACATAGACAGTAAGACAGAGTTATGAGTTCACCCAAATACATGATGAGTCAGACTATTGTGTTGGCGTCACAGCCTAGAAAAACGAGTTTTCCACTGTGGCACATCCGCACCCGAATAACCTTTCCAGCAGCCTACACTTTCAGTGAGAAATTTCTCGTACAGGTAAATCAGCCATAATGGACTGGAAAGTGTTAAATGTGTCTGCAAAAGTCTGAGGAAGTTTCCATTTTTGAAGATTGCAGTTTAGTGCTGTACTTTGGTAGTCACATCATCAGATATACCTAGCTATGCAATGTGCGTTAGTAAAGATAAATGTAGGTCATGATCAAAGCTCTGAGGAGAGACTCTATAAGAAGGAATATGCAGTAAGATGCCCAATTACGATAAAGCATTACATTAAATTGCCCAGCGCATTACTGCAGCCCACGGAAACTTCCTCAAGGGTTTTGAGAATTGCTCCTCGGGCTCTTACCACAGTGTGTGTTAACGCTAATGAGCTTGTTGTTTGTCTTCATAATGTGTAATTCTGCTGTCTAACAATCCAATGCCTTCCTGATTAGCAAACTTTTCTTTCTCTCTGGGGGAAGCGGGGCTAAATGCTTTTATGGATGTATAACAGTGAGAGGACTCCTTTCTCAGCCTCTTTCACTTAATGGAACTTTTGCTTATTTAAGATTTATGAGCTCTTGCACTTTTGCATTTTATATAAATAAATATTACATAAAATGTTATATTTTTATAGAAATACTTTTGTTAATACTTTCATTTAAGGACTGATTCTCATTATTATATAGTGGCTTATTATATACCTGTAATTAAGATATTGGTTGTTTAATAGTACGTAAAGTCTGCATGATCTTATTCTACATCAATAATTGTACTAAAACTAACTATGACTATTAATCATTAAAAATATAAATTAGGAATGAGACAAAATCATAGTTAAATAATTTATAAATAGCAAGAATGGTGTGACCATATTTGTATTGTAATAATTATTGCGAGGCTTATTTATCAGTTCTTATTATTTATGACTCATAAGATAATAAATATACATTATATGGATTTAAAATCAGCAGCAGAATCAAGTACATTATACTAGTATTATTATATTTTATATTGATATATTTTAAATGATCTATTAAAGCTGCACAATGTTGAAAAATTGAAACTGCTCTACTGTAAAACCCAATAAGTTAACTCAAATCATTTGAGGAAACTGATTGCAACAAACCAATCCTAATAAATTCGGTGAACTTAATCCATTTCAGTAAATGAAGCAATTTGAGCACATTAAAACTAGTAAATGAAGAGAACTCAAACCAACTGAGTACTGTAAAACCCAATAAGATAAGGCAACTCAAACCGTTTAGGTAAAAAAAAAAAAAAAAAAAAAACTAGTCTATATGAGTACTGTGACCTTTTTAAAGTAATGAGGTAAGTTGAAGTAATGAGGTATTTAATTAACTCATTACCTTCAACACGGAGTTCAAAACTTTTTTCAAATAAGTAGAATAACTTTGTCAATTTTGAGTTAACTACACTCATTTCATTTGATAAAGTTGACTGTTGGGTTTTACAGTGTTCATTTTATTTTTCTGCAATATAAATTGCGATTTGAACAGCTGTACTCGCTAATTTACGAGCAAGTCATTACATTTACATAAAATGTATTATATTAAAGATAAGTGAAATATGCAGTGTTTTATGGTTTTCCATAGAACTATATTTAGGTAATGAAATAAAAACTCAAGTGAAAAATAACACTATAGTCTTCATATAGTCTTCATTGTATGAATAATCCAATGATTCAATCTTTATTGAAGATACAAAAAAGGCTTACTTGTTTGTGCCTGAACACTTTAAACTGTCTTGTGTCTGAATGCTTTCACAGTCAGAGGCCTTAACCTGCAAACGATAAACTTTTACTCCTTTATGGTTGAAAACTTGCACTTCATTATAGTTAAACTCTACAGTCACTCCACATATATCTCATGTGTTCCAAACTGTGGCTTTTGGTCAACTATAATCCCAACATTGAATATGTGAATAGTGCACATTGCGCTATTGATGCTGAAACTATCTATTATGCAGCCCTATGACCTAATATTAATTTTATCTATTATTCTTAAACTACTAAAATAATAATGATGCGAAATAGTCTACTCATTTTCACTGCATTATAAAACAAATACCCGTTTTTTTTAAATACATATTTCATATATGGCATATTAATAAGAAGAAATTAGTATAGATATTTTAAATATGGCACATAAGCCATTGCATCCTTTTTATTGCATATTGCACCATGAAAATGACCCATCTCATCTCTCCTGTTGACTGGGAAATTACCCAACACTCTTATCCAAAAGGCAGTGGAGTGTGGAGTGAAGCCCTACCATAAAACACTAGGGGCTTTCACATGGGAGAAACCTTAGCATAGCTCCTAGAACCATTTGCTAAAGAAGCCAAAAGTACCCAAAGAATGGCTTGAGGGTAAATCAGTTGTTGTGGGACGAGTCTGTTGTCTAGTTGCAATAACTACCAAGTGCAAAAGCCCCTAAACAGAAGATATCATTTGCTTTTGCTTAAAGAAGGCAATAAGGGGGAAAACAATAGAAGTGACCACTCACCAAAGCTCTAGTTTAACTCTCCGTCCATCCAACAGGATCGTGGTTGTCTTGTAGTCGATTCCTGCAGAATGATAAACAGAAAACACTTAGATGAGGTTCTCACTGGTGTCTGTCTTTCATCAAATATCATGCATTGTTGTAAGCCAAATAGATTAATACTCAACAAAAAGTATCTGGAACTTGAAAAGCTTCAGACAACAGCATGATTGCATTAGGTGCACTCCCTAATTTAATTCCCAGCCAATCGGTCCTTTCATTAGAAGGCACTAAAGCTGAGATGGCCATTGTGATAGTGACTGTGCACATTCAGTGGAGAGCTTGACAGCTGCGAGCAATCTGCTGCGACTTAATGCTATCATCGCTGAAATGTGACCAGGACGCTTCCCATAAGGCGATTATCTCCACTGCTTATCTACTTTTATCATTCAAAAGGAAAAAAAAAAACTAAGTGAACATCGGACAGCTCCATTAACTGAATGGAAAGATCTGCATTTTGGGTGCTTCACAGCAGGTCTGCATTTAAACCTGTTTTTTTGCATTTTAATAGACAGCTCTGTTTCTAACAAAGGCTCACTGTGTCTATTTCTATATAGGCCAGTGTCTGTAATATTAACCATGCCAAGAGCACTTGTCTCAGCGGATCATCTTTTTGCACACTTGAAAAATCTGATTATCTGTGATGTTGACAACATGGACACGGACTTGCCCCCTCCTGTTTTCAGCAGGCAAAGGAGAGTGACATAATAAGGGTGGTTTTGGCCATTGCTTCCTCTGGTACATCAGTTTTAAAAAGGAAATCAACACGTTCCTCTCTGATTGCAGACAAAAACAAAGTCACACCCTTTTGTAGTCAATTCCAATTTGATATTAACTATTTACTTCCGGGAGAAGCAGAAAACGAGGGGACACAGCAAAGAAGGGGTGTATGAACTAAATAAAGACTACAAAAGGTTTTTGATAAACATTCTGAATACTATTTAAAATGTGTTCAGGTTTGGGGAACTATACAACTCTTTTCAAAAACAATTGTTGTTATCGTCTTCTGAATATCATTAATTTAAAAGAAGTGCTATAGAGTGTGGGGAACTAACACACACACATTATAAACATTCAGTTTTATTTATGACCTATTTTACATTATTTCTATGTGAAGTGAAATACACCAAAACCTTACTGTCTGAGTTCTTTTAACTCTTATTTTTTGGAATCACATATAATAAACACATACATATACTACGTAATATACATTAAGTTATATATGCAAAATAAATGCCATGCTAGAAAATACTAATATCACTACAACTGTTATTAATATTACTACGACTATTACTACTACTGACAATGATGTGTGTCGCGTTCATAACAACTCAAAAAACCCCAAGACTATTTGTTCCTATTAGTTTAAATAATGTGTGAAGAAATGGAATTAGTTTTGCATTAAACAGGCTCATTTTGACCTGCAACAATTTCATTGCAGTTTCTAAATCATGTTGCGCTGTGTCTGTTAGATCAGCAGATCGCATCCGCAACAGTGGAGTAGAGAGGTTTATTATCTGCTCTTGACACAGAAAGCAGGCCTACCTGAAATATTAAATTAGAAAAGGCTCAATAATGCACTGGACAGATCGTCAATGCACTGATTTCTTCCCTTTGTGCTGCTGTTTTGGAAGTGACCGCACATAGTGGAGCACTGTGCGCTGTGTCTCAGTGATGCATTTATCGATTCATTCCCGCACTAGTTGCGCACATGTGGCGTGCGCCACTCCAGAAAATTATTCTGTAATATTAAAAGTTTTCGTTCTCTCATCCTTCCGACTGAGTGTATTCTTCTGCGGGAAATACTTTCTGTGCTGTGAATAGTTTGAAAAGCCTGGCTCATTGTGGTCAAATTAATTGATTAAATTAATGAAAGTGAAACTGACGGGAGCAATATGGATTGTCATTAACAGAAAATGATTTAACCTATTACAGGCTACTCTGAAACTCTCAATATTTCAACTGTAAATTCATTTATATTGATATTTTATTTTATAAGCGGTCCTTGTTTTGAACTTTCTCTGTCTCACTCACGGTGAGGTTTGGCAAGAGATTATTAGGTAAAACTGGCCTCAGACGGTTTAGTTTAGTCTGTGTCAAACCTGCAGGAAAATATCAGGCTTTGCTAAAAGACTGATTATTTTACCAACGATTAGGGTCAATAGTGGTAGCCTAATACAGGTTTAAAAAAAATCTAAATATTAAAAAAGGAAACATAAGCTGGACCGCACAGCAGATCAACGTCATGACGAATGCTCAAATAATGTAGCCTAGTTGACAGCAAGCATCATGTTTTTAGTTAGATTGTGTGTCTGTCATATACAGTTGACCTATATCTCTGCTATTTTTAATAAAGAAGATATATTAATTAAGATAATCACTAGAACTACAGAAACAGTATTATGCATTAAAAAAACAGCATAGAATCGGGATCGGATCTCTATGGATCAATACTCAGAATTTTGGTATTGAGATCGAATCGGTTCCAAAAAAATAGTATTGGTGCATCCCTAAAAATCAACAAATTACAAAATACTACATTGCTCTAATTTTTCCATTAATTAATAGATTTTCACTAAGTAATAAAACGCATAGTTAATTACTTAATAAATAATATATCTAATAGTTCTAACATATAATAATAATAATAATACAAAAAAGAAAACATTTGTTTAATGATGTATTTTGTTCTCAAACATTAATTGAAAAGTACGCAGGCAAAAATTTACTTCCTTAAATCGAAGTTCCAGTTTCTGTTTTATTGTGCACCATAAAAATTTGAGCATCAAAATGGAGAAAGTGAAGAACGTGGCCATCACACTTTTTCAAGATCCTTTGATCATTCTGAGCCAGAGCATGTCTGAAGGAGGGTCTTCTTTTTTACGCTCAGCTAGACAGGCACCATAAGAGCTTCTGACAGGCCAACGTCGGCTGGTTCAGAGCCCATAGGCTTCATCCGTCCTCCATTATTCAACATCTACAAGGGAACGTAACAAGAGGGAAATGGCTCGCACTTAAAAAGAACCACTGGGGCCGATTTCCTGCTGCTCTCTTTCCTGCAAAAGCTTTGCTCTTAAGCAGGGCAGCACATCAAGCCAAAGGCACATCACACTTCCTTCCTCCAGCATCCCTCCTCCTTCGCTCTGGGTAATTGTATGGGCAGATGGCTCAGCAACACGGCCTGACAAGGGCAGTACGGTGTAATTATCATCTCAGGTTCCAGCTCTGGGCTGCAGGCCAAGACTTCCCTGCCCTGTTGAGTGAAGACAGCCTGAAGCGGCTAGTTTTGAAGAAGAGCCTGGAAGTGAAAGATCCAGCAGGATTTGTGGACACCTGAGAGGGATCAAGTGGACAGCGACACGTGCGGGCAGCTTTAATTCAATTTAAATAGCCTACCATCAAAAGGGTGGAGGAAATTGTACTGCGTCAACTGGCAAAAGAAGTCATAATCGGAGTAGCTTTTTGTTTTGTTTATTTATAATAACACATTCAGACGGCCGGAACTGCAATGTGCACAGCTAGAACAGGGTGCGACTGAATTTGTGAGCAATTTCAAAGGCTACATGGGCATGAGAGAAATTAAACAAACATGCCCGAGGCTCAGAAAGGTAGACAAGCTGGTTTCACACTGCATTTCACAGCATGTGTTTGTGTGCATTAGGGTTGGGAATCTATAGGGACTATCCGATATAATTCTGGGGGAGGTCAACATTCAATCTGATTCTAATTCTTAATTTATATTTTTACTATTTCTTTCGCTGTACAATTACATCTTTAGAAGAACTATACATTTTAAGATAGTACTGCAAATTTAAAAATCATTTATTTGAATAAAATAATTATTCAGAATGAACAAGTAAAAAGGAATATGAAAAGCCATTTACAAATAATAATTAAACAAACAAACATACTCCATAAAAAATGCATTCATTTTCCAGTAAGATAAAGAGCATCTCAATTTTCAGTTTATAACATAAAGAACATGTTATGGAAATAATGTGCAGTTGAAGTCAATGCTTAGCTCTCTTATGAAATTATTTTTGCAGATATTTTCCAAGTACTGATTTTTCTGTTAAGTAACCACAACTTAAAAAGTTTTAATAACTAAACTATTTTGTCCTTGCCTTGATGACAGTAAATAACATTTTACTAGCTATTTTGCAAGACACTAGTATTAGACTCATGAAAGAATCAAGTAAGCTTTAAAACATAGTAATGCTTCAATAGTTTGCAACAAAGTGAAGTAGGTCTATTTTACTTTAATTCACAACAGTTTTTTTTTTTAACCTGACAATTAAAAATAACATATAAAGCAGTAATCACAACACAGTGATACTGGGAAACCTTGATAATTTTATCTAAGGTTATCATACTGCCAGAATATTATACCAGCCCATGCCTGCAGATGAGCATCAAGGCATCGCATCTGACAACCATTGGTTTCTCTTTCAGCAGAAATGTGGGTGCACAATGCATCAGAAACACCGCGCCTAATTGTCCATCTGTCTAAATGAAGAGAATTCTGCAGCATGCACATGTGTGCCTATCGGTTTCTGTGCAGGCCAAATAGTCATAACCCAATTAGAATACAGAATAAATTTGTAACCTTTGAGAACCGATCCAGAATCGTTAAAAGAAAGAAATCACAATGAATTAATTTTTTCTCCCACATCTCCTACTTTAGACTTCAGTATCTGACCATTACCTTTTATCGTTTATCAGAAGATGCAGATACTCTCTCTCCTGGAAATATAATATAATATAAAATAACATAATATAATATAAGAGTAAGTGAGGTTTAGCTACAAGTCTGAGACTGTGACTATATATTAGGAAAAATCTATAGAACTGGTCATGATACAGGGCTAGGGATAAGCTACATGTTTTCAAAATGGTACAAATTATGTGATCATTTACTCTTATATTAAAATTTTTCAAAACCTGTTTAATATTCTGTCTTGTGGAAAACAGTAACTAAATCATTCTGGTCAGAGACATTTTTCAAAATATTCATCATCCATTTAC